TAGGCCTATCAAAACTAATTGTCCATTTATGGCCAAGCCACCATCATTTTTATGATTAAATTTGAAAAGTACTAGACATAAAAAAGATCTTTTGCATGACAACTTTAGTAAATGATGCATTATGTAGAACCCATTTCGTATTAACCAGTCCTATGAATTTCATTTGGAGAACTTAACAATCAACATTGACACAATGCACTTATTAAAGCGAGGGGTGAGCAAGTTATCCGCTACCTACTACCCACCTGACCTGTCCACTACTCGCATTTTTTTGCCCATTTAAGCCCGCCTGTCAAGAGCCCGAAACAGGCGAGCTCAAATGGGTCGGATTGTTGTGTTATATGGGCAGGTAGCGGGTAAAGGCATGGGCTACCCATGCTCCACCCATTTACATTTTTTTTTTTTTGTTTATTTCACATGATATCCAGTTTGTGATCAAGTATATTATTAATATAGTAAAAGATGAGATGAAGGTGCAAGCAGATTACTCTCCTTCAGTCAGTCAGAGCTAGTAACTATTTTTTGCCCTTTCCTTTTGCAATAATTTCTTAGGAAATATGCTTAGGTTTACATTGTTCAGATTATATGCTGGATGAGCAATCCAAAACACTTCTGCAAATTGAACTGAACACTATTTCATCTTCATTTGTTGGCCTTGGTGGACTGGTGACCAAGCTTCATAAGTTCACGTTTGGTGTCTAATTTAGAATCTTTTAATAATGTTTGAGGTTATCTCTTTTTCTGTTTTGGTGCAGTTATGGTTGTGGGTCCTTATAAGTTAAACATATAATGATTCTTATGGTAAATATAATTTAATTCTTATTAGAGACACATTAGGAATTAATGAGGTGATTTCAAGTTAAAATTTATTTCAAGAGCTCACCGATGCACATTCATTACATATTTCAAAAATTCATCCAAGCAATTTTATTTAGAAATTAGGAAACCTATCATTTAGACTTTCTGGGAGGTATTTTCCTCAGCTTTTTAATACGCACCATATTACACATCTGTGCGGAAAACATTGGCTCAAATTGATCAAGAGTCAGAACTTTTTCTTGATGGAAAACTTTGTATGTATCCTTTGCCATCATGGTTAATGCTTGTTATTGCTTGAGTATTTCCCTTGTTTTCCTCTTCAAAATGATTATGATTATGAGAATATCTAGATTAGCTAGTTCTTGCTTGTTGTAATGCTGTCCAACCGGGGGGGGGGGGGTAAGGACGCCTCAATTAGATGGGCTACCCCAAAACCCATGAAAACTCGTGCATTTAAGGGCAGCCAATGAACCATGTATAGGTATGGGCTAGCCCGTACCCATTTAACCTTAAATGGGCGGGCTGCGGGCACATCCCTGGGCTGCCCAGCCCGCCATTGCACTGCCCTAATTAAAGCTTGTTCTGCTTGGCATTGCTATAAAATCACCAATCACGAAAGCCATTCCTGGCTCCTAACTGATAGTTTAACTAATAATGGTAGAAATTGCTGATTAGTTCTTTAGGCTCCGTTTTATGAAAACATTTAGTTTTTCAACTTCAACGGGAAGTTCTTAATGAATAAATCTCATTAAAGTTGCTAAAGTGGCAAACCTTTGGAGGCAGAATATATAGGATCTCCGTACATTGGATAAAGACCGGAAGCAGAACCCATATTGATAATCACACCAGGCGATTTGGTAGCTTCCATGGTTCTAATCTGTCAAACACAAGTATTTACTGTCATGGATAATCAATGGCTTTAACCTTTTTCATTCATTTAAGAAATAAATAGTTTAGCTATGCATGCACTCCATAATTTTTTTACCTTCACATTGTGAACTGAGTCTTGTTTTGGAAGCTTGGGTTAATACAAACTTTAGTCCTTCAAGTTTGTCCTCATTTTGGTTTTGGCCCCTCAAGTTTTATACTATAGGTTTTGGTCCTTCAAGTTTCTTTTCATTTAGAACATTAGTCCTTATAATCTAATAAAAACTTAGACTATTTTACCTCTAGAGGGACCAAAACTTATGGTTTGAAATCTGAAGGACCAAAACCAAAATGAAACTTGAGGGACTAAAGATTATATTAACCCATTTAAGCAAAATTATAACTCTAATTAGAGGAGGAAGGCAAACCAAGCCTTATGTTAAGCTTACCGCTAGGCGAGTGCAATCAATAACAGCATTCAAATTCACATCAATAGTGTATCTCCATGAGCGAGAGCCATCTGTTTTATCCTTACTGAACGGTACAGGATTACCGATCCCTGCACTGTTGATACAAATGTCCAGTCCTCCATATGTCAACGAATGTTTCTCAAATGCATCAGCAATATCCCCTGTTATTAATCATAAATTAAAATATTTGCAAATAATCAGAAATAAAAAGGACAAAATAACATGTAATTCACTTTTTATGACATGTATAAAAACTACAAAGTCTGATAATAGTTAGAAAAAGGTGAACGCAAAAATATGCCGTCCAGATCAGGAAATTCTACGTTTTCCTCTTTCTTCCAGTGAAAATGGATGGCTATCTTCCCCCTATATGATGCTATTTTATCATAGATTGGTAATACTAAACCTGCAATTGAAAGCAAGAGCAGGCCGGAAGAGTATCATTTAAAAAAGAACTTAAGTAAACAAGCCCAACTTCCAGCATGGTGGACAAAGGGGAAGGCCATAACTTTGGATAGAACTGATCCTGTTGTTTTGTATTGTATGTGTTGCTCATAGATAATCATTCACTTACTTGTGTTAGACACATCACATTTCACAAAAATCGCAGATGGATGTTCTAACTTGGGATGGAACTTGGTGTTAATTTGCTCAACGAGGGATGAGACTTGTCTTCCCTTTTCTTCAGAGTAATCAACAACTGTGACAAATATACCCTTCTCTGCAAGAGCTAAGCAAAGACTTTTACCTGTATGTAAACCAAAGGAAGAAATGCAGTTTAGGCATGAATTGTTATATCTAAATCGCAGATATGATATCTAATAAAATGCACCAAGCGTCTACTAACGTGATGTTTCAATATCGATGAAAGAGAAATGGCTGCTGAGTTAATATATTCTCCCTAGATAGACCGTCAAATCAGCGTTTATTATCTCTCATATCTCTATTACAGTAGTTGTAAGTCCATAACAAAAGTTTCAAAACCAATCGTCCCCTTAGGTGTATAATCATTCGCTTGCTTCTTTTCTCCTCACTTACCATCCAATTGGTTCCTATACTAATCATTTCGCAACTAGAAGATTTCATCGATCGTTAGTCAAACCCCAAACATACTCACGAAGAAGAAAGATATCATGACATTGGGATCGAAAGCTTCAGTTACCAACAATAATCTGAGCACCGAACACGTTATTAGTCATGTAAACTTATGTCTAGCTATAATTATCATCCCATAGTTCAAATATTAAACTTGTCCTTTCAAACTGAAACATTAACAAAGCACCAAACTTCTGCACAAACAGCCAACAATCAATCTAAAGTCACAGATATATTAAATTCATCGATCCAAAGCAAAAAAAAGAAACGTATTTTCAAAAATAAATCGAGGCATCATAGAATCCAGGAAGAATCAATAGGGAGTCTTATGTATGTTACCAATTCCAGAGGCACCTCCAGTGACCAGTGCCGACAAACCCGGTTTGAGCTCCATGGAGCGAGGTAGGATCGTTGCGACAACAGAGGGAAAGATACAGGATCAAATTTGGCCGGCCTAGAGGAGTAAAAGGTGAGGGGCAAGGGATATATTACAATATTCAATCCATAGTCCTCGTTCTTCCAACTTTTTACTGTTCATGTATCATGTTAGTTATTATCCCGTTTCAATGGATTTGCAAGCGCGCGAGTGAGAAACAGAGAAAGGAATATACCTGGGACTATATCCGGAGGCCTCGGTGTTCTCGCATGCATAACTCTTTCTTGTTACATTTTCAAGGGGTAAAAAGCGACGCAAAATAGAGTACATCTGCTCCCAACTACTAAGGAATCTGCCAGACAAATCCTTGCAACGGGGGAATCCGCCGTGGGGATTTTTTTTTTTTCCCTTGGTGCTTTCAAAATAAACACTGTCAGGTATTAAACATATATCCCACGTCAAATCTATTTACTACGTTATGAAAGACATAATTTCTGTTAGCGTCACAGGTATGTAATAAAGGACATGCTTTATGTTTTTTTTTTTTTTTGGTTGGTAAAATGCTTGATGTGTTTTTATTATGTGTTTCCAGATAACACGAACTTGTTTGGGAAGAAACACAAGAAATTATTTTATAAGTAAAATAAAATGTTTATATTATACAGGTCTAAGTGAATTAAATAGATTTTCTTAAAATAACAGCTACAGCGTTCTCATAATTTTTTTAATACAATTGTCTAACATTTAATACTACAGGACCAATTTTCTAATAATTTTAAAATCTCACAAACTTGTTTAAACTAAATAAATATTTTTTTGTCCTGAGATGAATAATTATATTACACTTTCCTTTAATTTTACATATTTTAACTAGCAAATCCATCTGCTTGCTATAATTTACATAAAATTCATAACATCTCACAAGTCATAATTTTTTTCTACAAAGTGAAAATATCTCCTATTAGAAGCGACACTATCAGGCGTTAAATGATGAAATTCAAACTTGATTTGTCATATTATGAAACACTAGTTATTTTCACTAAACCTAAACCTAACTCTTGGTTCACAAGTCATAACTAGCAGCATAACCACAAATACACGAATTTAAATTAACTCAGCCCAATCGAAACAAATTTTTCCCTTATCGGCCATGTTGATATGATTAGGCCGGCCCAAGTTCATATGCTTTTCCGCGAAATTCCCAACCCCAATGTTGAACGGCCTATTTTATCCCTGATCTGTTTCTCCGAGGAATTTTGTCGACGAGAACATCACCTTAGTATAATCAGTGCAAGACCGAAAGCAGGCAACGTGTTTCGTGCAAAAAGACATAGGACATGACATTGTGATGACTAGATGAAAGCCAATCATAATGATCGCTTGACGAAATCAGAAGTATTATTCTAATTGATCAACATCAACATAAGTTGGACATGATCTTTTCTGTGGTAATTGATTTACAAGGGAATTTTTGGTTTTTAAAGCTGCTTGTGTTGATATATTTTCCTTCGTCCTAACAGAACTCAATGCTGGCCTCATTGAAGGCTTGAGGGAGTAAGATGGCTTCTGATGTAAAGAAAGAACGGGACTTTGTTTGGAGTTCCGTTTTAGCTGGATCACTTCCTTGCTTTCCTCTTGCTGTTGCTCTGAACTGACGGTTGAATCAATTGGTGTCAGCTTTCCATCAACTTGGTTTGTAAAAACAAATGTCACCTGAAAGAGAGAAATAATATCCAGGTAGAGATTATTGTAACTTGAACTGTAAAGGATAGCCGGCTTTAGGCAAATTAGCGTGTCAGTGTCACTTTCATGTTCAACTGCCAATAATAGTTCATATTGCTCAGATTATTGACAAGATGTTTCACATATTACATGCCAAAAGTGGGGAAAATATTTCGAAGGAAAAGGGTACCACTAATAAGCACAATACCGAAACTTATGGAGAGAAACGTTAAGATGAGCCGTTTATTTGAATGCTTCAGCAGAGTACATGCATGTTATGTCAAATGTAAAATATTTTCAATATCTAAACCGTAAGAGCCAGCGTTTAATGAATTTTATTACTGAAACTTACTGAGCTTCATATTATATTTATTAAATTAGGATCCTGTATCCAGGATTGTTGGAAGAATTAGAAAGCCATGGGCTACCATAAAGGTCCGATTAATTTGTCTTTAGGATGACTTAACTATTGATTTTAACAAAGATTAAAATGGGGGGAGGGAGGAGTGAATAGAAATATACTTAAATTGCTATAGCATACCTCATCTCCGGCTGAAGCCTGAAGGATAGTATCCGGTACGGTCGTGGAGAAGAAATGATGGCCCCAGCTACCTAAATCTTCTTCCAAGGGGATCCCTACCTGAAAAGATGTATCTAAGATTAGGTACTCATTCAGTATCTCCTTGAATCAAGTGTCAGAAACATTACGCAGTTTATCTACTTGGTCGAAGTACCATAGCATCCCTTTGAGGAAGTCGGGTTACTGAGGTTTTTAGCAAACTGAAGGCACATAAAACAAGTCTAGTGGAATCTAACCTGCTTTTCTGATTTCTTTAATTTGTGCATACAGCCTGCAAATTTTGCAAATCCACCTATATCATCAGAGGTTTCCTCATCAAATCCACCGTTACTTATCGTAGAATGAGCAACATATTTCCCATCGTCGCTCTGAGGCCCATCGTCATTTGTCTGACACCGAGAGCAATGCATCCTTTCATGAATCTCTGACCTAAAGACATGAAAGAAAACATAAGGATGAAGTAAAGGCCTCTGTTTATTCTTATGGTGGAATGTACATTGTCGTTTCTTTTCACCAAATCTCCATCAAGGGCGACCATTATTGCAATACAATCGCACCATACCAACATCTTTAAAATTATTAATAATCGCAAAATGCTACGATATTAACGATTGTTCGTTATTGCCTTTCCTATCTACTCTACTGTAACATATGTATGAATGGCTTCAGCTTCGCCATTCGCTAATGTGTAAATTCGACTCACCATGCATCAAGAAGGGTGTTATCAGCATTCAGCATAATAATTAAATATAAATTACATGAGTGAAAAAGATGGAATGCATTACTTGACACATTCATGAAATGAGAACAGATCCCGGAGGACCTCTGTCGAAAAGTTACCCTGAAAATTACAAAGACTGAGAACATTAATGTACAGGTTTAATGAGCTGCATTAAGAAAATGTGCTCGAAGCAGAAATTTCAACCGGTGTCTCAAGGTTATCTGTTTGCTCCTGCTGAATGACCTTTTGAAGCCCTTCTTTTGACATCTGACGCTGGTATACCTACGGTAGAGTCATATGAATCAAAATCGCAATAAAAGCATTTGTCTCCACTCAATTATCACAATGATATATACCTTTTCCTCTATTGTCCCAGCACTCAAAAATCTATAAATGTACACTCTTTTCTTCTGCCCATCCCTCCAAACTCTCGCCGCAGCCTGATCAAGGGCAAGGCAAAATTGAAATGTGAAGGGCATAAGTACCCAAAGTTTTAGGAAGAATCATAATGCATGGATACTGAGTAAGTCCACTATGGGATTACTTGTTTATCATTTGCTGGATTCCAGTCAGGATCGAACAAGACTAATCGATTTCCTCCAATTAAATTGAGGCCACAGCCACCAGCCTTACTGCTCAAGAGAAAAACGAACTCGTCCTGCAATATTTGAAATTTATATCGGGTCTACCTATTAATAAGCCCATATTGAGATTTATATCTCGGAGTCTGAGGTTGTTATCTACATCACATACAATGATTGGTCACAAATACCAAAACAATCAAGGCATCTCGTTTATCAGTTTGTAAGCAATTTACCTTAGATTGATCATTAAAGCGGTTTACTAACTTCTGCCTTTTACTGATTGATGTTGCACCATCAAGCCTCAAGTGCGGGTACCTTCGTTCCCGACACAACTGAGCAAAAAGATCCAGAGTCTGTTCCCCGGCGATAGATTGGCGCAGCAAACAAAAGTCATTGGGGAAATAAATTGGGAAAAAGAAGGAAATTGAGCCACATGGAATATTGACAAAAGTTAACACCTTGTTTCTAACAAGATTGTGGGTTGAAGGTTTGAACGTAATATATACCGATAACTAGAGCAAGTTATTATACTCCGGATTTAACTCAGAGAGATATAGTGATATTGAAAAGAGATAAGATGCAAATAAATTTTGTGAATTATTGAAAGAGATATGGCATTGAAAGAACTGTGTTATAACCTTGAGTCATACTGACAATAAACATTAAAATGAACAAATATCTGTAGGTTAAACGGCATCCGCATCAAACGGCGTTTCAAAAAGGGTAACAGCGTAAACGCTTAATGGAATATAAATTCGACCATTAAGAAAAATAAACGCTATCTGAACAGCATATGAAGTGACTGTAAGTAGAGTGTGCTTTGCTGGTTTGTCCATGAATAGGAATCTCCAATTGATATAAAACATGAGTAACCAGTCAACTAGTTCTATGCTTCGAAGAAGGTGCATGAAAATTCGATTCAATATTTAAATAATTTTCTGTCTCTGAGCAATATTGCCCAAAGTAAAATTTCTACTCAACATCAGCCTCGCAAGCATCATAGTCCATCAAATATTATATGCAGCCTGAGTCAACTTATAGAACTAGTTCCCGTCTGGTATATAGCAGTTAAGACTGTCACATCAGAGAAAGGATATTGATATGACCTTGTCCTACTAGTTACATTGGAATTGGATAGCTAAAAAAGTGTACGTGAACGTAACGTTTTCACTTTTCTTTGTGGGGATGGGGAGGGGGAGCATATACCTGTGTGTAGTTTGAGACAAGGACAATGCGGTCATTAGTCCTTTGCCGTATCTGGGCAAGTAGTCTTGCTAAGACATGCATTTTTCCTGACAACTCAATCCAAGCTCCATCCCCTCCAGTCCACGAGCCAGATCTAAGGAGAAAACCCTCAAGAATGATTGAACTCATACAGCAAATGCATCGACGAAACATAAGCTAAAAATATCTACCTTCCTGATAACATCTCTGGTGGAAAGAACCGAATGCAGTCCTCAAAGCCCGAAGTTCCTGGACTCCCGCTTCGTATAGTATCATATATAAGCTGGAAGACGTGAAATTATTTATGAGTGTGAAATACGTCTGAACCTTAAAAACTATGAACGGGGAAGACGTAAATGAGGGGAAAAAAAAAAAAAACTACCTAAGATCTCAAATTCACAGGAGACAATAATAAAAAGTTAAACTGCCCCATAACAAAAATATATAAGAGCTCTATGTTAAGAATCTACGCAACAAAAAGTTGCAGCTCTCAACAATGAATTTCGCTCACTTCTATAGACAGAATCAACCATAAAGAGAAGGAACCCGAATTTGTCATACCTTTGGGTGGTTGCACAACTTTTTGAGAGCTGTTATGTAGGCTAAAATCTTTGATTGCTTTACGTCTTCAACAATTGCGCGTTTAACCTTTATTTGAGACATAATTTATCATTTCTGGTTGAAAAGTCCTGCATTCCTCCATGTCCAAAAGCCTAATCTTATGAAAAGTACTTGTTTGTTAAAGTAAAGACAGCTTACATTTTTGGATTGTATAAAATATTTATATAGGTCTGACTGGAGTGGAGTTAACCTGCAGCAAACAACTTCAACTATCTGTAGCGAGAAAACAACAGCCCTTGCATATAAGATAAAAGAATATGTAGTGCAATAACTCAACAACTAATCAGTAATCACCAATGACCAAGGCACGGGATTTTCATCTATTCCGGGTTCAGTGTCCCCTTCATTACATATATAATAAAGAATATGTTTACAGCTTCAAATATATACTTCATTGATCAAGGCGAAACTCTAGATTGATAAAAATTGCCAAATGTTAGATATTTCATGACATATGAATGTCCACTAGCCAATACTAATTTGGAGTTTGAGAAGAGAAATGATAATGAGCTTACAACTAAATATTAAGCAAAAGAATATGTGGTGCAATAGTTCATCCATATACAGAAAGTTGGGCACATAGATAAAGGTAAAATACCTTTGGCGGTAAGTGATTTGATAATAATGCATTCGTCCTTCGCAATATAAACTGCAAAACATATTGGCTAGTTAATTTTCAAGAAAATAAAAGTGAATTTTCTCATCAGCAGACAAAGGATGCTAGTTGCACTTGGCTATCATTCACTTATCAATTCAAGATTATCACCGTATTTTGGCTACCTTTCGTCAGGCGTTTAAGAACTACACCTTCAAAGCCTAATGATAAATAATAGTAGAACTCTCTAAAATTAGAAAATGAACATATAATTGGCATTCGTATCCAACAAGAAGCATTACAATTTACCTGGTTAACTTTCCCACTTAACTCTGCAGAGCGATCAGCACCTAGCTTCTTCTCATCTGCAGAAGCAGTAGGTTCTCTTCCACAAATAATTGGTCCCTTCATGATCCAAAAAGACTATAGTCAAAATCAGAAACACAAGGAAAGAAAAAAGAACTACTCCTGTTGTCACCAACAGAAAAAGGAAGACTATTCCTGCACCAGAATTTCCTCAAGAGGTGCAAGAGCCGTTGGTTTGTTGTACTCATTATATCTTTAGCTATAAAAACGTTCCCTTCTTTTATATAGATAGAAGTTTTGCAACTAAACAACTCCTTTTCTTTAAGATAAGCATATTCTCATCGAAGCCTTGTTATGTTGTATAAGCAAGTTAAAATATAAAGCAGTCAACTTCTTACCTCAAAGTACCGGCGAAAATGTGTAATGTCACCTAATATTCCAGGATTAGTGAAGTTAACCATCGCAAAGAATTCCTCTAAGTCATTCTGCAGGTTGCAAACGAAGTTATTAAAAATAAAACAAAGTAAAAAGTGACAGTTATAACCCGTAACGCTTATAGATGATCAAGCACAAATCTTACCTGCAAAGGAGTTCCTGAAAGCAACACTCTACGTTTGCACGAGAGAGCAGCCAGTGCCTATATGGAAGGTAACTTTAACACTCAGAAGCAGGGCAGTCAAGTAATAGCAATCTAACTTGCTCACAATTAAGATCATAAAGAACGCTGGGACGGGACGACTTCTACAGTACCCGGTTTGTAATTGTCTGATCATTCTTCAGCCTGTGAGCCTCATCACATATGAGTAGGTCACAAGAGTCACTATGGCCAAACTTTGATGAATGCATTCGGAAAGTCTCATATGATGCTATGAGCACCTGATGGAGGGAAATACTCATTTAGTGCATAGAAAGTTCGAGTTTTCAAGCTTTAGAAGCAATAGGAAGACCTGTTGCAAATTTTACCTGTAGAGAGCTGTGGGGACTTGTAAAATTGTCAATCCCAGAAATGACATCATCTCTTGTACTTTCACACAGAGCAACAAGACGAACTCTCTCTCCGATCCACTTCCTAATTTCAGCTTCCCAATTACTTACAAGGCTGGTAGGGGTCACAATGATGGCTTTTCTAACCATTGGCTTTCCATCAAACCCTTGACAGAGAAGTGTATACAGAAGTGTGATTGACTGCAAAGTCTTCCCCAAACTGCATGCAGTATTAAAAGACAGCCTTTTAAAGAAAGATGCGGAGGAGAGGGAACAATCTATTGCTATAATGTCAAAAGAAAGGAGAGAAAAACTTGCCCCATATCATCTGCCAGGATGCACCCGTGAATATTTGCTGTGCTAAGTAGCCCTGAAACACATTCAAACATAAACTGAACTCCTTCTCTGCATCAGAGCATTTCACAAGTTAACCTCCGAGAACAGGGAAATAAAAACGGAACCAGTAGATATGATGTAGATGCCTTGAGGAACATGTTTCAAGATGCGCTAAACTTCCAAAATTCAAACTGCACTGACTCTCAAGAAAGGGGATATAATCAAGACGTGAGCTGGTACTAGGTCCGAGCATCAATACAGTACGCTGATAATAAGGTATCCAACAGTGCAACAAATAAAACCAAAATGCAAAATTAACATGGGAAGAAGCACCTCTGGTGTGGTCTAAGGAAACGAACAAGCAACGGGTCCACTGCTATTGGAGTCAAATTACGGCCTTCATCCTCATACCCTTCGGGCTGCCACAACACTAGAGGTTCAATCCCAGGCGGCAAAGACACTTCCTCTGCGGCAACATCTTTTTCAACGCTTATTGGCAAATTTAACCGGTTGGTAATTGTCACCAACACCGGTCTGGTAGAGCCCCACGGGACAAACCTTTTCCGGGCACAAAGGCGACGTGTAAGCTCTTCATTTCCATTATTGTAACCACTGGAGCTGGGAGGTTTAAAGGGTTTTCTACAAACAGCTGCTCCTTGTGTTACAGAAAGAACTCGTGGAAGCAACGACTGTGTCTTCACGACAAGATTACCCCTGGTAAATAAAACATGTGGGAAAAATATGAAAATGATGAAATAAATCGTTGGATGATACTGATTAAATCTCCTCCAAATGATGTTCCCAGAGACAATACGACCAGAAAGATCGTGTAAAAGGCGACATTACTTGTCTCTAACAGTTAAAATGCATAAGCCAAACGCCGAAATGTGATTCAATGACTAAGATATCTTAAATACCTCACAAGAGCATCGATATTCTTCGATTTCCTCTCGTCATCAGATAGAGAATAAACGTCGACCTCTGACTGATCATCCTTATCGAGGCTCTCTTCACATTCACTGGAAAGGTCCTCGTCGTCGTCGTCGGAACCGGAAGAGCACGAAACGACTTCGTCATCCTCTTCCATTTTCCGCGTTGCCGCTGGGGTCTCAGTTCCGAAAGTGGCGATTTCGATTCCTTCACTGAGATTGGCGCCAAAACGGCTCAAATGAAATGATGAAATCAGTAAAACTTGCCGGGGAAGTTAACAAAGTAATGGATCTTGTTATATTTAATTCAGCAGCATAACACCAGGTTGAGATGGCCGAGTTGGTCTAAGGCGCCAGATTAAGGTTCTGGTCCGAAAGGGCGTGGGTTCAAATCCCACTCTCAACAATAAATGTTTTTTAAATTTTAAATTTTATTATTCTTTTCTGTTTATTTTTTATATTTTGTTTGTTTTTTCCTGTTTATTTATTTTATTTTATTTATTTTTTTCCTTTTCATAATCAATTATCTAAAAAATAATTAATATATTACTCTTTTACTCTTTTAATAATTCAATGCCCTAAATTCTTTTGTATTTAAACATATATGAACACAAAAATAAACTGGATTTTATTTGTTGTTAAATGGTTTCTTAATTTCTGAACAAAAAATACATATAGACCGCCTCATCTAAAACCTAATTAGATTTTACTACCTCCAGTTTCTAATATAATAGTTAATTTGACATTTAATTTGATTCTAAATATAAGACTAATTTATTTTGTTTCTTATATTTATCTATTTTTTCAAAGTAATCCTAGTAATTACACATGTTAAAAGTCTCATCAAGTGGTAAATCTATCTAATACACATGATTAGCAAGGGTATTTTAGAAAAAAAATACTTATTTGTTACAAATAACTAACTTAGCTAATTTTCTTAATTTACTCAAATCAATCAATTAAGTCTTATATTAAGGACCATAATGATATCAAAGCTAGGTTAATTTGAATAATCTTGTTTCTTGTGCTTAACTCATATATAAACCCTTATGAAAATACTACAATGTACTACTTTCGCTTCCTAGCTCAGTTGACTAATTTGAAAAGATTAAGGAAATTAAATAAATTATTTTAAAGTATTATATTTATTTGTTTTTTTAAAAAATTTGCCTTATTTATAAAATGATATATAATATAAGACATAGTTAACTAATTTGGATAAATTAAAAAATTTATTTTGTAATATTATATTTATCGTTTTTCTTGAAAACAATTTGCCTGACTTATAGCTTGGCATATAATCTAGTGATAGATATAACTATTTTAGAGATATCATGTAATATGTGCTATAATTAAATAATTTTTTTAAAATTTTTAATTTTCTCAAATTAATTAATTGGGTTTTATATTAAAAATTGAAGGTAGTATATAACTCAATACATTTGTATATATATACAGCCTCTGGTCCTTAATATAAAAGTTAGTCGAAGGTTAAATTTAGTCTAAGATAAAATATCTAAATCAACTTTATCTCTCAAATTTATAATGATTTCTCTAAAATATTACTATTGATTGTAAGAGTTCCACCAATTCATAGTTTTGTTGCACATGATTAAATATAATAGTTTAGAAAAATCAATATACATTTATTATAACCAACTAACTTACTCAATCTTTCAAAATTAGATATCTAACTTTTATATATAGCATAAGAAACAAAATAAAATGCTGGATTGTATGCTGTCATACGGGTTGCTTATATCAAAGCCATACAAGATATGTATGAGAGGGTAACTACCAGTATAAGGACGCCTGGAGGTGAGACAAAGGACTTCCCTATTCAGACTGGCCTACATCAGGGATTCTCTTTGAGTCCGTACTTGTTCAACATTGTTCTGGATGTTCTAACTGAACCTATTCAAGAAAAAATCCCTAAGTTCATGCTTTTCGAGGATGATATAGTTCTCATAGCGGAATCAAAAGAAGAGATTAACACTAGATTGGAGTTATGGAGAAGGACTTTGGAGTCAAAAGGTTTCTGCTTGAGCAAGAACAAAACAGAATATATGCATTGTGGTTTTGGGGGGAGGCAAGGCAATGGGGATTTGGAGGTGAAGATGGGGGAGCAAATCATTCCTCAAGTATCAAAGTTTAAATACCTAGGATGCATTATACAGGAGGATGGAGAAATTGATGGAGACGTTTCTCATAGAATACAAACTGGCTGGTTAAAGTGGAGGAAAGCTACCAGAGTTATTTGCGATAAGAAGGTACCTGAGAAACTTAAAGGAAAATTTTATCGGACTGCTATAAGACCGTCTATGTTGTATGGTAGTGAATGTTGGGCAATAAAGGGAAAACAAGAGCACAAAGTTAGGGTAGCAAAAATGAGGATGTTGAGATAGATGCATGGTCAGACAAAAAAAGATAGGATTCAAAATGAAAATATCAGAGCAAGAGTTGGTGTGGCACCTATCCAAGAGAAAATGGTTGAAAATTGCTTAAGATGGTTTGGACATGTGCAGAGAAGGCCATTGGAGGCCCCGGTGAGGAGGGTAGATCAGACAAGATGGAGTCCCATAAAAAGGAACAGAGAAAGACCAAGAAGAACGCTTAATGAGGTCATTGAACGAGACCTCATAGTCAATAACATATCTAAGGACTGGGTTGTTGACAGAACACGATGGCGTCATGTGATTCATATAGCCGACCCCACCTAATGGGATAAGGCTTGTTGTTGTTGTTGATTGTATGCTGTCGTACTCTTGCAGAATAGGCATGGAATCAAACATGTCATTGGCTGTAATGTGAAGTCTTACAGGCTAAAATTTTGTCATCTTTCCATTGCGGGCGTGTTCTTCTGAAGCATCCTCGTGGGAATCCACTGATTAACAGTTCACATGCCTTAATTATTTCACATGACTATATAAAATCTGATGTTTGATTTCGGTAAACACATAAGACAAACCGAAACCCCATAATCTTGCCTTCAATTCACGTGCTTTCAAAAGCTCCTGAGCTCGCCCGTGATGCCATGGCCCATTGAGATGGATAAATATATAAACGAAGCTTCTCTCGATATGGATTTTTTTTTTTTCAGTGATAACCCATTTGGATGCCTTTTTCTGCCCCAACGATAACCCATTTAAATGCACATAAAATTGTCTGCTTTATATAACATCGAGACACATTTAAATTATCCATTTGGATTAGTTGTAGATGGTTTTGCACTCTACAAAATAAATATAAAAAGGAACTTCATCTTGAAAAGTGTAAAAATATTTATTTTAAGCTGATCCAAACAACTAAATATAAACCACATCAATATCTAATATTTAGGTGTCAGGGACAAATTTATTTAATTAAAAAAACTAAAAGTCAAGGTTCACATTTTTTTATAATAAGTTTGAATCCATTCAACCCGACTTTTTTGTTGTTGGAAGAATCCAAAAAAACTACATTTAAATTTAAAATTTTAAATTAGTCTTGTTTACTATACCTTAATAACAATTAACAATATTTAAAAAAAAATAACAATACATTTTTGTAGTCATTTATTTGAAATTTGAATTTGTAGAAGTATTTTTTTTAGAATTTTTTTTATTTCATTTCTTATTTCCCTGTGGAAAGAGACAAAGCACCTCTACATTGATTCTATATAAACCAAACAGTTCTCCACTATTGTCACATGCAAGGGAGGCAGTTAAATAGAGCTTGGAAACTACAGAGCCTAGGGATGGCAGGATTGAGCAAGAAGCTTGTGGTTGTGGGGCTGGTTTTGGCTCTGGCCATTATAATGGGGTCAGATCCCACAATGGTGAGTGCTGATGACGGCGTCTTGTGTGGGGTGAGTGCACAAGGGCTGATGGACTGCCGGCCGTCGGTGAGCGGCGATGAGCCTCAGGTGCCGCCGACTTCCGACTGCTGCTCTGCCCTCTCCGGCGCGGACCTTAAATGCCTCTGCCGTCTCAAAAACCAAAGGACTCTCCTCAGATTCTATAACATTGATCCTAAACAAGCCATGGCTCTCCCTGCTCTGTGCAAGATTGTGGACCATGCTTGGCATTGCTGATGATGACCAAGTGACCAACTCAGTTATTGTTTTTTCTCTGCTCATGATTTGGATTGTGGATCTGTTTGGTTTTGATTTTTCAAAATCAGCAAGTGTACTTCTTCAGTAATCATCTTAATTAATGAAGATAATAAAGTTGTTACGAGATAAGAGTTTATTATTGTCACGAACGTGATAAATGGCAAGTCCAGGCCTTGTTGTGACTCTGTCCATGTACACTCTGGTGCATGTTATGTTGTTTTGTTCAGTTTAATTGTGATACATGAATGGAGATTTCATTCAAAATCTGATCTACTCTGGCTTCTTTTACGTTACTATGGAAAGGATATGGAACTCTGCGTCTTTTCCCTCGGCCTGAGCTATAGTCTAGCGCTGAAGGAGGGGGGGGGGGAGGGCTCCAGTCTGGCTGTTTGGGGGGGGAAAAATGCTTCGCTCCATCATGCTTTGCTAATTATGGGGCTGTTTGAGTATTATAGTCCAATAGTACTAAATTTCCCCAAAATCTTCTTTAAATGCAAAGTTATAAGTTGAAACTCTTGAAAATACTTTGGGAGTGTGTAAAAAACCAATGTTTCGATCTAATCCAATCTAACTCGAGATAGTTTGATTCAGTCCATTTTAGTCTAAATAAACTATATAATGAAATTGGACTACACTAGGTCATGTTAGATTGGGTTCTAGACCAAGTGATCAGACTATCTGGATTGGTCTAATCCAATCTAGGTATTTTTTTTATTTTCAATAATTTGTAATTTAAATGTTATCTCTAATTGTTTTTAATGTTGTTAGAGATTCTTATGTATTTAAAAGGCCAATTTTTCGGGAATTTTAGACCAAGCTTTTGATAAACTTTGATTTTCGGCTAGCCTAGCACAAACTCTTCGATATATTTCTTGCTGGAAGTATCCCTGATCTTTTAATATTTTAGGATAAGTTTTATATGATTATAGGTTTTTTTTATTGTCTATCATGTTGAAATCATGCTTTCTATAAAGAAATTAAAAAAAGAAAAAGAAAATTGGAGTTCTCTACTGTCCGGACCAGTCTACTAGTTTGGTAGATCAAGTTCAATCTAACTCGGTCTCAGGTTACTACTAAGCTAGACCAAACAATAGACTACCAAATCCAATCCAATCCAACTAAAAATCAAAATAGACTTTGAGTTAGATTTTGGTCCAATCCTGTTGGTTCATCGTGCAACCCCACTTATAAGTACTGTAGGACTTATAAATTCAAGAAATTCTCTCTCCTAATGTGTTATTTTTTTGGATTGGACTCTCCTTCTAAACTTGTTTCCATCACATAAGTGTGAAAGTTAAGGTTAAAAAAAAGCAGGGATAAAAGAAAATACTTCTAAGTATTTTTTTTTTTGGCCATGGAATAACAATAAGCCATTAAAATTTTCAAAATTCTTGCAATTAGATCTCAAGCTGAATACATTAAAATTTGAAAGCATTTTTTACAGGATCGTGTACTCTCTCTCCCTTTGTCTCGCTGAATTTCCATACTTCGTTGTGAAGGAAGGGTTATGCATTTTTCTATGAAAGCTAGACTGCAGTTACGAATCCAAATGTAAAGGAAAAGTTAATTATAATCTGTATTATCAATATACTAATATCAATAGACTATACGTGAAAATTGCGTCCCGGTTCAAACTCATCCAAAAGTATTCAATAATCAATGCCAGCAGAATTACAATTAGATAATACATTAGTTAGATAAACAAGCTTTCATCCTTCTGACAAAAAAAAAAAAACAAGCTTTCATCAATCTTAGGAGCTTAACCTATCGTCTGGCATCCCAGTGATGCGGTTCTTCTGTACGTGGGAGCTACTAAGTTAAATTACAATCACTGAACTAAACGGGGACTCCCATTGTTACAAAGTACCAGATCATAACTTTCATTATTTAACTTTAAAGGGAATTACTGTATTCAGTTCTTAATATAAGAATTAGTTTGATTTTTAATTTGGGTTTAAATATAAGATTTTAATTTATTTTAGTTTTCATATTTATCTATTTTTTTCTAAAATAGTCATTGTAATAGTTGCACATATTAAATGTTCTATCAAATAATAGTTATAGTTAATGCACATGATTAATTAAAGTATTTTAGAGAAGACAACACCGATTTATCACGAATAATTAATTTAACAAATTTTTTTAATTTATTTATATTAGTCAACTATCTTTCATATTAAAGAACATAGATAGTGACTAGCATCACTCACTATCATAATTTTTTTAGTTGTGCAATTTTACTCGCAGTCTTTTAAATTTGGTGTAATCCCTCCCTTTTTTATTTATTTTAAATAATCATTTTCCTTTTATTCATCTTAATAGGTAAAATTAATAATTTTGGTTCTTTTATCAAATTATTGGCAACTTTCAAGGTAATTGAATTATAGTCACATTAGGAAATTGAAACAATGGAGAAATTGCATCCAAGTTAACAGACCATGCGTAAAATTGCAGCATTAAAAAAATTAAGATGTTGAGTGTAACTCGCAAATAAAATCTTAACGGACTTTTTGTTATAAATAAAAAAGAAATATAAAAAAATAATATAAAATAATAGAGGATTAATAAAAGAGAGTATTTCTCATTTTATTCAAAAGTACTCAGTACATTATACATGACTTCTATTTATAGGCACATCTTTACAATTTTGATAGAATCTGCAGATTACATAATAATAGAATATAATTGTGGAATATAGAGATAATGGGAGATTACATAAATATAGGAGATAACTGGAGATATATGGGTATTCATAAAGACATTATTATATTCATAACACTTTTATCCTTTCTTTAATTATAAATATTAATCCATATACCCATCATATAGTAATTAATTAGGGATGATGTGGCGTTTAGAGATCGGAACAAATCAATAGATGGATTTGGTTGGGTTTGGGGTTGGCTAGAATAGGAATTCGAGAAACACTGGGGGGCACAAGTTGGTTAAGAAAATATGCAATCCTAAAATATGCACTGGTTGGCTATAATAGGCAAACCAAAACTTGATCTCTCAATAGTAATTCCGTGAGTGGTGTCAGGCCAAAAAAAAAAAAGTGAGTGGTGGTATTTTATTTCTATCTAAGTGGCCAGGCATAATTCCATTTCGTTGGCAGTGCATAATCTTAAATTCTCCCCCAATCCTAAATATAAAATCTTTTTTATAGTGTAATTTACACTGTAAAAAGAGTCTTATATTTAGAATCAGAGGAATATTATTTAGTGTGTCACACTAAATATTCTTCAATTTTAAATATAAACTTATTTTATAACGTAATTTATATTATAAAATAAATCTTATATTTAGAAAAGTCATGTCAATCCCATGTCCGAGTGTCTCACACCAAACAAGCCTTAAGTTCCCACCTTCTTGAATTTAGGGATCATGGTCACAATGATAAGCATGGTGGGAAATAATACATCCAATATTTAATATAAGAATTTATTGGATTTTTATGTTAATCTTAAATATGAGACTTTAATCTATTTTGTCATTTATATTTACCTTTTTTTAAAGTAATCCTTATAATAATAGTAGTTCTAGCTAACACACTTGATTAATAAGAATATTTTAAAAAAGATAATATCTATTTATTATTTATCCGGTTCTAAATATAAGACCAATTTAACTACAATATCTATTTAGTGTAACTACAAAATGAGTTTTATATTTAGGATTTAAGAAATATAAATAACCAATTTAACTAATTTCTTAATCTATTTAAATTAATTAACTAGTTTTTATATTAAAATGAGAAGGTAGTAGGAGATACACTATTAAATCTAAGGACCTAATCCCAAATTGTGGGGAAAGAGGAGAAATATTATTAAATCCAAGGACCTAATACAAAAGCGAGTATTAGGGTTTTAAACGATAAGGTTCATGTTGCTCTGTGCACTATATATGCACAGGGGCAGACGCCCACAGGAGAAAGCGCAGCCAAGCGGCTGATTACATTTGAAGGGCTCGTAGCGAAATGTAATAATTCTGGGTTCTATTGGCAATGAGATGTTCCTCTGCCTTTTACATCGTTCCACGAATGTCTTCGATTGGCCTTCTTAATCCCAGATAAGCTTGAAGGTTGGTTTCTTCTGGTGCTTATTCTGATTCATCGGAGGCCCAAACTGATACTGGTAGTTTCGCTGATAAATGCCTGTATCTGATTATCTCGAGGCGTTTACTAGTAACTCTTACCATACATTTCTCACTTATTACTCACTATTTCCTACAATTTTATATCTTTTAACATAAAAGAAAAATGGAGGTTTTTGCTGGAACAATCTCCTTTCAAGCTCTAGTTGATGGCTTCGTGGTTTTAGGTTGAAATAGAGTCATCTTTCCCTCTTTTCTCAACAGTGCTTTGCTTTCTGGGTTCTTCTAATTTTTTTTTATTTTATACGTGCTAAACGATTTTGTGAGGGTCGCATTAAACTTGGACGGATCCGAATCAAGTAGGACAAGAACAGTTCAGTTCTTTTACTTTGTATTCATACTTTTTTCCAGAAGGTTATATGCATAGGATCTTTCCTTAACACCATTCTTGGGGAGGAATTTGGATTAGTTTTGAGGTATTTAGTTCAATACATTGTGCTTGAAGTAGCAATATGTTATCCATTTAGAGGTTTTTGTCATATGCTTTATTAACACAAAGCCAATTAGCAGAGCAAGAGCATCGATTGCAAAATTAAATGGTGCATCTTGCCTTGAAGGTTGGCAAAAGTAGCTAGCGATTCTCCGTGCCTATCAAATTGATTTTCTACTGTTTTGATAATGGCCTCGAACAAGTCGCAACATCTATTTGTGCTTGATCTTACTTGTCATCTACAGGATTGGGTCTAGTGCCAAATTGTGCGTTTCTGAAGTTTTGAAAGATAAATCGAGAAATCAAGAAACAGATTTGAATCAAAAAGACTTTGCTTAAATGATACTAATTGTTAAGTATCAAAGATCAAGCTTGAGCTTCAATTAGGGATAGACAGTTAGATTGAAAAACGACATGCTTTACTCCAATATGTGCAGCCATTTGCACCCCTTTCTCTATAACCAGGCCGGGGCCTAAGACATGAAACTCGATTTTACCAGACAAATTGAACTATGCTGCAGCCGAACAACATTCGCACTCAGACTTACCGGCTTTATTGATGATGAAACAACCATAAGTACTGACCTTGAGCGTCTATGACAGGACAATGACATGTTTGGTCGTTTAGCTTGCCTATCGTCCGGTTAAATGAGCGATCTGGATGAATAGTGATGACCCCGTAACTAAAGACAAAGAAACCAAAATTCAAGTTCTCAATTTTCTTTCTGGTTAGTTAAAATTTTGATAGAATGAACTTTGAGAACCCATTGGAATCAAAACAAATATTAGGAGTTCTTGCAATATTTACAGGATCAAGCATGGTGGAACAGTCTTTCTTGGGGTTCCCTAATTATTATCACACTTCCAGTTTCAGGTTTAACCATGTTTCTTTTCTTCCAGTTAAAACGTTAAATGATACTGCTCCTTAGCTACGCTTTAATGCCTCTCACGATCATTCAGATTAAATGCCTATTTAGTTTCACTACAAATGATGCTCCTTAGAGTCACATCTAAATGCCAAGAAATTGAGACTACTTTTTGGGTCGAGGGAGTTGGGTCGAGGGAGTTGACCCAACTTTAACATGCTGAACTGTTGATAAAAGGATAACCTTAAAGAATCCATAATTCACACGGACGCAAGTTTACAAGGTGATCATGAATTTTTCCTCTTCAGCCTGGCATAGGCCAATAATTTTTCCTCTTCAGCCCGGCATAGACCAATAGATTCAAACCACACCTCAACACGACCATTAAAAACAAAACATTGATTGGGATATGATTTTTCTTTTATTGGAGAGTACAAACAAATTTAGGAAGTGAGAGACAATTTCTTGACGGTTGTAGCCATATGCTTGCCCTGATGCTCAGCAAGGGCAAGCTCTTTATCAGTAGCTTGCCTGGTTCCATCCCCAGCAAAAACCCCAGCACCATAGGGAGACCCTCCTCTAACTGATTCCATTTCAAACATTCCAGCTCCTAATGTATATCCCACTGGAACATATATCATCCCATGATGCGCTAACTGTGTAATTGCCGTCCACCTACAACAGCAACAATAAAAGTTCTTTCTTTAAACAAAACAGTTGATGCATCACGGTTAAAATATCGGTTACAAAAATACCTATATAAATTATCCATTAACAAAATTCTCATATTAGCAGCAAGATTTTAAGTTTATACAAATGATTTGAATTTATGAGAGTGATTGTTATCTTTAATTGAGAGAAAAATTAAATGACAAGCGTTTATTTAAAATAATAAATCATGTTCACTGCTTAAACGACGCGAATGGGACACTTACGCGGTCGTTTCTTGGCCACCGCCCTGTGTGCCGGTACTCACAAAGAAGCCAGCAGGTTTTCCCGCCAGCTTCTGTTCCCTCCATAGCTGCCCCGTCGAATCGAAAAACGCCTTCATCTGCGCCGCCATGCTCCCGAACCTCGTCGGAAACCCGAATATCACCCCATCCGCCTCCACCAATTTCTCCGCCGTTGTCACCGGAACGCTATCGTCCTTCGGCGGCGCCTTCATCATCTCTAGCACTTCCTTGGGTAGCGTCTCTGCCACTCGGTACAACACGCCCTCCACTCCTTCTACCGAATCCACACCTTTCTTTATTTCCCGCGCCAGTGACTCCACGTGACCGTACATTGAGTAATACACTATGAAAACCCTCAGCTTCTTCGTTTCTGCTTCGATCGGCGCTTCTCGGACTGCGATTGTTGTCGTTTCCGTTACTCGCGATTGGGTTTCCATGCTCTCTGAAACTGGATCATTCTTCTTCGAACCATAAATGGGCGCCTTCTTCTTGCTAGGTACACACCCGCCTCCTTTCCCCATTGTTGTGATTTTTTTTACACTGAAGCAGATGTTGTTATCTGAAACTCTTAGATTTATGCTCTGCGACAATAGGACACAGAACGTAGCTTACATATAAAAAAGGAAAGATAAATTACGTAAACAAGCTTGTGTTTGACTTCATATTTATGAGCTGTTAGGATGAATTATGAAGATAATTTAAAATTTGCGCTCATGACGAGAGCGAAACGTGGCATGAATATTGGTCTTAAGAAAACTAGGCAGCCAAAGGAGACAATGGATATGGGCGAAGAATCAAAGAATATGGGATGCGGACTTACATGATGCTTTCAGCAGAAACTATAGAAAATGGAAAACTTCCTTTTCTTTGACAGATTCCAACGAATATATTTTCTTCGAAAATAGTATTATAAATTTGTAGGATATTGCAATACCTCGCTTATTGTCGTTTTCATTGACATATTCAAACATACTTAATTGAAATATGAAATAACTTATTCCAAATATGATATAGCTTTTATGATTTTTAAACTCCTAATTTCCATGCAATTATTGTCTTGTTAAGACCTCTAATTCGCAGACGTAGGATTGTGTAGCAGTACTTATCTATACCTACCCCTCGCCACATCAAACGTAGTTGCTTCCGGGGGACCAAATTTCACCTTAGCAAACCCAAATTTTAAGAAGGAATATGTTGCCTCATCTTTGAACCAGTCCGCATTGCAATTGGTAAATATCTATTCATAAGAATTACTAGCACAAATCAGATTCAATGACGCTGCGTTTAAGCCACTCGATCATGTTAATCCTTGTTGGTTAAGTAGAAATTATCAATGGTACAAATCGGAAGCCTAATTTTCTCTAAGTTAAAGTCTCGTGGTCAACGAAAACTGCATCCCTCACAATGTCATGTCATCGCCGCGCTTTGAAGCAAATACAATTAGAGAATTCATTTTTGAAGCAATTAGCTTAGGAGCGACATCATCATGGATGTCATCAACAGACGACAAAATGATGAAAAATTATTCGTAGTTTTGAAGTTTTCAAATGTCTTGTGAACATAATTAAAGTTGATCGGCCAGTGACAACTGTTTTCTAATCAGAAATCCCGAATGAAAGATCTAAAACGTGTGCTAGTAGCTTCATTTCTCTGTTTTCTTTATGTTTTCGACATTATGTTTGGCGGAGACTGGTGTGTTTAACAGTCAATTGTATTTTAATGTCTAATAATTGCTGGTAATTATTTATGATAAGTTTCGACGATATTGTTACCAGTGGCAAAAGGACAAAAAGAAAAAAGATACTATTTAGACATTGTTGATGTGCGCTTGTATTGTTAGGTTGATGTTTTTCTCGATATTACGAATTATTTTATAAATTTCTCCTCATTAATCTAATGTGCTATTATTTAGCTCTAAGTGCTTAATAGGATTTTGATTTTTTTTAATATTATATCAAAGTACATTTGTACACGATAGGAAATACAGGAAACTATTGTTTGACCATGACGAATATAAATTTTTGTAATAATTGGTAAGTTCATATGTTTTCTGTTCTTATGAATTGGACCGATTCTCTTCGGTTTGCTTAGAAGGTGGGAAAATATTCCGGTTCTTGGCATGTTAAAATTATACTAGTAGTTGCTAGAGATATTTACTTTGTCTTGTAATTTTACATGAATAGATAAATTGCAGCCAAGTCTTAGGTTAAGGAGAAAAATTTGTTTTAAAATGTCTAGTGAACAGGTCAAAGCTTGTGGAGTTAAAAATGGAAATATAGCTCAAATTCGTCACCTCAGTATATTTGTTAAAGTCCAGGAATCGACAGTATGTAATAGCTTAACCACAATCATCTTATTTGGGAATCCAAGTACATAATGCTGCATCTCAAAAACATAGCAAGTGAAATTTGTTCCGTGGTTTTTGCTAATATGTTTAACTTCTTTGTTGTTTGTACTTCTTTATTAGTCTTCTGAGTTTTGACAGCTTGGTGCTGTTATTTTATTCTTTGTTTTACGCTGTGATCGAAGTGCTCCTCGCTTTGCACTGTCTTTGAACAAAATGGGCGTCATATGTGTAGCTTAACTTATTGTAGACATATCTAAGCTTGCCGTGATCATCCACTTACTTCACATTTCCACGAAGAGTTGTTTTTGTCATTGAGCCTGCGCAGAACTTGCACAGAAATACATCCCGCAAGTTCTTCACCAGACAAGGCCAGAATTAGCCAGGAGGAGCCATTGAGCTCAAACAATGAAAAGAGATTTTGACAGAAAATTCTGCACCCCTAGAGGAAAGAACGTTTACTTCATTTAACAGTGGTTCCAATTTCCTAGAAAGAGAACTAAATAGAATTTCATCCTTCCTTGCGTGAACTCTTTCTTGACTTCCATGCTCGTAGGAAACTTCTATTTCGAGAGTGTTGAATTAATGGAGACTTGGATTCTTTCCTCTGGAGCTTCTGGGGCCTCGATATTGATGACAGACAACTAAAAGCGGTTTTCTTCTTATTTTCACGCCCTTCAAAGTTGGGATCCTCTTGAGAGGTCGAAGTTTTGAGGGCATCAGGGAGTAAGCAGTTACATACAGAACCTACAAGGATGACATAGAACAATGAATCAGGTATTGAATTCAAGAATAATTTCTGAGATGCCTGTGATGTGTTTACTGATAGAAAACAATGCAATTGAAAGTTTTAACATTAAAATGGATAGTGTGTGAATGCATGTCTTGTACCTAATCTCGCAAGGCGATTGACCCATTTAGGTATTGAATTTCCTGTGAGCCTTTGGCATATATCCGCACAGAAATGGTTGCAGTTCTTGATCATTAAGTGATAAGTATTACCGTGGTAGTTAGCTGACTGATGCTCCATGAATTCTCTAATCTTGAATGGATTCATATTCGTCGTTCCCATGAATATTGACTTCCTAAACTTGAATCCTGGGCACTGCCGAGGTTCAACCTCAAAGACACCGCTAGTAGGACAATCATGGGCTCCAAAGGAATACTCCACTCCATAGACTGAGGCATTATGACAATTTCAGAAAATATTGATGGCATCCAGATAATTTTTTTTTTTGACATTTAAGTCATAAGGGGAAGAATAGGTGCAACAAAACCTAATTTGAGTGCCCAAGGGTGATATGAGAAATTTTATTTCCAAACAAAGTCTGAAGATGTGATTTAGGGAAAAAGAGAAGTTGCTTATGTGTCAATGATAAATACAAGCACAGACAGGCTACTATAATGAGCTTGACATATGAGCCATGAAAGTCAAAAGCTGGATAGATAGAGGGCTGGAAAGTAAAGCCCTTCCTTTAGGAGTAGAATTATGATGTAAATTCTACCTAGTGTAGTTTGAATCAACATCTTGGTGCATACTTTTGCCAAAAAATAATAATTTTGGAAGTTATTTAAGGAGGCTTTGAATGTTTACTGACCTTCAACCCCAGTGTGAAAAACACCAAGGCCTGCCCAGTACAAGTAACCATTTGCGGGTGTCAAATCATACACATTGAGATAGACAGGAACATTCTCTGGATCGTCGTCAACCGATTTCACCTTTTGGAATATGCAAAAGCGGGGTTCTGACTTTTTAAGGACATGAAGGTGCATAACAGATGGCCAGCCATCGTTCTCTGCTCCGGTTTTCATGCTAAAAATGAACCCGGGAAGCACTCAATACCTATTTCCAATCTGTATATATCAACATGAACACTGAGCATAAATCATCTGCATTAAGTACCATTCAACAGAAAAGAACATAAAAAAAAAAAGAGGCACGAAATTTCTCTGTGAAAATATTCATTGCATCAATCTAGGTTGTGAACCGATAATGATGTGTGCACACTTGAAATATAACATAATGTAAACAGGGAAAAATTATGAATTATTATCATGTTTTCCGTTGTGTCTTAACTTAGATTTTCTAAGGCAACAAAGCCTTAAATCGATCGTCCAAGGAATTTCAGATCAAGCTTTGTAGATAATACAGCAGTAGCCCAATTCCCCTGCGATAACCCTTCCTTAGGAATCATTCCCTGCTTTACTGATTCCTTCATTTCCTTTGTTTATATCAGACAAGAGCAAGAAGACATATCTGGCTTGCATCATGATTTGTTCCACTGCTCTGTGTATAACATTTGAGCTATTTCCTTCAAGGTGCAGACTGCAGGACAAAGGCCCCCAAATATGACTCGCGCAATATTTGATGGATTCATCATCGCAAATATAGATCATTTTAAACAGGAACTTGTTACATATTCTAGGAAGAGCTCAAACCTGTTCCTTGCACATAATCCAGGGGCATAAGATTGCTACTTGTAGATGTAGATGGAGAGAAGGGGGGAGGAAAGCACTTGGAAAATGTATTTTGTAGCAGGGAACTCAATAAACGCGTAAGGGTACATAACAATGATTTGAGCCCCGTCCAATTTGTGGTGGTCGGATCAACTAACTAGTTGCATTTAGAATGAAGCCCCTATTAGCATTACATGTTAACTTTCTCTACTTTTGAATTAGTCCTTTATTGTTATTTAATTTTTTTCCTAGCATTAAGTAATCTTATTGTTTCAATTTAATTTGTTAACTTCGCTTCAAATGTTACTTTCATTTCCTGGTTTCATGTTACTACCTCCGGTATTAATTATAAAATCTTGTTTGTACTCTACTAACAATGTCTTATAATTAGTATTGGAGGTAGTATTTTAATTGGGTGTCTTAGCTTACAAAAAAAAAAAAATCAATGCTGTAACAAAGTCGTTGCTCAAGTCTCTTGTTCCCTTTCAATTTATGTGTCTGCTGTCCCCTCGTACATGAAAATCATCGTTCATATCTTAAGATTACAAATTAGGCACGCTCTCTCTTAAATCTAAATCAGCAGCATAAATGTCAATGACTTTGTCTTCCTCTTGAGGTGGATTTGGAGGAATGCTTTATTATTCATTTCAAAGAACAGGAGATATTCTAACATCCTACATTAATGTGACAACCAAAGTCACAGAAATACAAACAATCCCATTGACAGCCTAGAATCTACAGCCACATGTCTAACATGGAAAGAAGGAATTCTATAAGAACATTGATGGCCAAAAGAGGAAAATTCCTGGGAATGGCAAATAAAAATGGGATTGAAAGGCGAGAGACGAACCTTTGCAATCAAAGGGCGGCCGGAAGAGAGTGGGGTGAATGGTTGTCATGGAGGAGAGACGGCGGTGGCGGTGATCCCAGAATGGAACAATGTGTGTGCTTTGGAGTCACACATTGTCCATTGACCCCTCTCTTCCGACGCCGAGGCCCCAGCACTTCTGAAGTTGGCCCCCGATGTCATGGCATAAACAAGCCATTGCTTCCTCATGAAATTGTGAATTATAAATTATAATTAATTAAACCCCAAAATTTCCCTATAATTTCTCCCCTTCCACTCCAATAAAAGCGTTTTTCAGTTAAAATAAATTACTCCTCCGATTCTTAATATAAGAGCTATTTAACTAATTTTTATTAGATTAAGGAAGTTAGGTAAGTTAGTTAATTATAAGAAATATGACATTTTTTTTCTAAAACACTATAATCATTTTTCTTAATATCTTCTCTTCCTCTTTTACTTGATTATGATTGATGGAGTATCTATGGGAGGAATTTAAGAAAAATTGATAAATATAAGAAATATGTCTTATGTTTAAGACTAAAATTAACTTAATAATTAAGTCCTATACTAAAGACCGGAAGAGTACAATATACAGCACTGTTTACTTCTTTGGTTCTCTTTACTTATTTGGTTCCCTCTCTGTTTTTTTCCCCCCTCGATAAGCTTACCTCTTTGGTTCTCAATGCGACTAATTTTTCTCAATTTGTCACTTTTTTTTTTGGTCCAACAACTTGTGACATTTGGAATTGTAAGTTGATGATTTTTTTCCGCCTGTTAAGTCCATGGAGTATAAAATAAATCGTTTGTAACAAGAAATTTGTAAAACATTTTTTTGAATACAAATAATATAATAAAAATATATATATTTTTTTTTATTAATTTTTAATATATATCGTTTTTTTGGAGAAAAAGACCAAAAAATTACAAATTAACTTGGAAATGACCAGAACGTCCACTGAATTTGCAAAATATTACTTTGGTCACATAAGACCAAATTGACATTATCATGTCAAATGAAAAGATCAAATTACCCTTCATTTTATTTATTGTTTTTAAAATACCAAAGCCCCTACTGGCTGATAATTGGTCACCCAAGCTCTGGCGGTCAAAAACAATTTTTTTGAAAATTTTTACAACTTCAATATAACAATTAACAACTTTTATAATACCATTAACAACTTTAGTATATCAGTTAACAATAGGTTTTTCAGGAAATTTAACAATTGGTCGCTGGAGCTCTGGCGGCCAGAAATAATTTTTTTACAATTTCAGTATAATAGTTAACAACTTTTGTAACGCTATTAACAACTTCAATATATCAGTTAACAATACATTTTTCAAGAAATTCAACAATTGGTCGTCGGAGCTTCGACAGCTAGAAACAATTTTTTTGAAAATTTTTGCAGCTTCAATACAACGGTTAACAACTTTTGTAATGTTATTAACAACTTCAGTATAATAGATAACAACAAGTTTTTTGAAAAATTCAACAAACTCCGGCGGCCGGAAACAATTTTTTTGAAAATTTTTACAACTTCAGTATAACAGTTAACAATTTTTGTAACGCTATTAACAACTTCAGTATATCAGTTAACAACAGGTTTTTGAGTTCGTTAATAGCATTACTAAAGTTGTAAAAATGTTACTTTTTGAATTTCCCGAAAAACCTGTTACTAACTGCTATATTGAAGTTGTTAATAGAATTACAAAAGTTGTTAACCGTTACACTAAAGTTATAAATTTTTTTTAAAAAAAAATAGTTGTTAAAGTTATAAAAATGCCATTTTTTTGAACTTTTAAGAAAACCTGTTGTCAAAAGTCATACCAAAGTTGTTAATAGAGTTACAGAACTTGTTAATGACGTTACTGAAGTTGTAAAAATACTACTTTTTGAATTTTTTGAAAAACTTGTTGTTAATTGTTATATTGAAGTTGTTAATAACATTACAAAAGTTATTAACCGTTATACTGAAGTTATAAAATTTTTAAAAAAATTGTTTTCGGCCATTGGAGCTCTGGCGACCAATTGTTGAATTTCTCAAAAAACCTATTGTTAACTGATATACTGAAATTGTTAATAGTATTACAAAAGTTGTTAACTGTCATACTGAAGTTGTAAAAATTTTCAAAAAAATTGTTTCTAGCCGCCAGAGCTTGTTGAATTTCCTAGAAAACCTATTGTTAACTATTATATTGAAGTTGTTAATAGCGTTACAAAAGTGATTAATTGTTATACTGAAGTTGTAAAAATTTTCAAAAAAATTATTTCTAACCGCCAGAGCTCCGGTAACCAATTATCAACCGATTGCCGACGCTCCGGTGATTGCCGCCGCCGGAGCTTCAGCGACCGGCTGGCCAGTGGAAGTTTTGGTATTTTAAAAACAATAAATAAAACGAAGGGCAATTTAATCTTTTTATTTGACATGATAATATCAATTTGGTCTCATGTGACCAAAATGGCATTTTGTAAATTTAGCAGACGTTCTGGTCATTCTTAAATTAATTTGTCATTTTTTGAATGTTTTGTCTTTTTCCCTTTTCTTTTCTTTTGGGCCAAATTATATATCTCGTTTTCAAACCCGTGGGTCGTTATTCATTAGGCATAGTAATGAGTAGGCTTATATCAGATGGCATGTGAAGACGAGGAATGGCCATTTGTCAAAGTTGTGCCTAACTTCTCTTTCGCGCCACCCAGGTTTCTAATCTATTCACTTTTCTCCCTCCCTCTTTGTATGCCCTTCTTCTTTCTTTCTCTCTCAAGTTGTGAACTAGGTGAGATCCCTAGATTTACTACTTCCTAGCTTCTCTTCTAATTCGTTTTATCGCCAGTTACTCCAAGTTATTGATATTTCCAATTTTGCCTCTTACGTTTCTGCTGCACAATTCAGAAAGGCTTATCCATACTAAGCAGGCTCTTTCGTTTTTTTTTTTGGGACCGAAATACTAGGTAGGCTGAACTTTACTTTTCTAAACATATGAATCTGGATTTTTGTGTTTTCTGTCAGTTAATTCATGTAATTGATTTATCATTTTACACACATTTCAGAGCTGCAAAATACTTATCAGTGGGCGTTAGATAACCATTCTTTTAGAAATATTTGAGAATGTGACCTTCCTTCTCGTTAACTTGTTCTGAGTAGTGTTGGCAAAGTGTCTTTTCTCATATTCTATCACTTCCTTTGTTTATATTTGGCCGCACTAGATTAACTGGAAGGACATTACATTACATTCGCCCCTAAACAAGTTTTGGGACATCATACATGACCATCAGCCTTCAAAATCCATTCAGGAAAGGCTAACAGATATATGACTATGCTAACCACTTCTCGGAAACGATTAATCCCAATGCAAGCTTTAAGCCGGACTCCTTAATTTTGCCCATGTAGGAAAACACACTCGGAAAGGAATGGTAGAGGCAATTCAATGTGACTGCCTTTCTTCTTTGCTAAATGTGGATTTTAATTTTTTCCTCATTTTAGTTTGTTCTTTTTCTTTTCATTCTCTCTTGCATAGTTTACTTTCTTCTAACTATCTCTCATTCTCTAGGCGTTAGATTCAAAAAGAAATCAGTCTTATTGGCGGTACAGAGTTCATGTGAATTTTGAGCTCTGATGGGGACAGAAGAATCCAACAAAAGTACTAAACCCAGCAAAACTATGGTGGTTCAGGATGTCCGTAAATTGCTTTGAATTGTCTCATTTAAATTTCTCTGCCTGCAATATGATGATTTCTAATTCTTATGTTCTCTACCTTTTTTTCTTCATTTCAATTCATATTTTATGACAGGAAACTGAAAACAAACCTTTGCAGCCGCTTTGGTATACTTCTATACAGGTCTCAAAAATTTATGTATTTATTTATTTGCATGGGTTTATATCGATATTTGGTTCCTGTATGTCTGTGCTTCTCATGTGGAAACTATTAACACTCTGAACGACTTTGAAATAGGGATATCATTATCCTATGCCTGCACCAACACCTATTATAAATTCACATGCAGCTGCAGCCGGTTCTTACTATTATCCCCACATTTGGCCAAACCAGGTAGTAATTTGCTTATTCATGATTCTTTCTGCAAATTGCTTGCTTTGATTATTATGAAGGAGCAAATCATGAGATTGCTTTTTCATTGTTTTTAATCATCTGGTGCAGACTTTCTGCAGTCCCCTTAAATATGACCCTCTGCATGATCCCAGCGGGCTCAAGGATCATCCAATTGTTTCCGGGGTAACTTGCTAAATATTCCATGTTATTATGCTTTCTATATTTTTTCTATTTTAATGAAATTCACATGGCCAGTTGCTCTAGAATTATTGTTTCCCCCCTTTTCTTTATGCTAACAGACGAAATTTGGCATTAACCATTACTTGAATTCCATTTTCCTGGAAAGTTTATCTGCTTATATTCGTTGAGTAATGCATATGACAAAGTTAGTTTTTCATTCTGCTCAGGGCTCTGCTTCAACATTTTCAGATAAAGTACAAAGGACTTTCAGTGGAGAGAACGTGGATTTGACAAAAGCATGTGAAGGGAACTTACAACCTAGAAGTTCTGTCCTTAAGGAATTAAGAGAAAATGGAAATGAATCATCAATTTCCAAAAATGAGCAAGATAGAGGGACATGGAGGTACTGTTTGCTTTATTCACCAAGCGTCCTCATCACATTTTTCCAAACTTAATTGCAAATTATCTGTTTATAGTGCTACAAATGGAAGCATGGGATCGTCAGATGAAGGTCATGACACTGACAATGTATGTGAAACTTATTACGTATTTAAATTCAACATACCTCTGAACAAGTAATATATTACCCATCACCAGTTTTGAATTATGATAGACTTTCAAATGTAGTATGAAAAATTGGCCATTCTGCTGTATAGTTCAAGATTTTTAGAATATCTTAACCAGAAGGTTTAATGCTATCCCTCTTCTGCAGGGTTTCCCTTCAAGTAGAGAGCAGCAATGTAACATGATGCTTGCAAATAGTATGTTTGAAATTGATGCATTTTTATTTTTTTGTCATTGAAATATCAGAATACATAGTCTGATGATCATGAAATTTGAACAGGGGACCTTACACAGAATGGGGCTAGAATAGAAAATGGTAATGCAATTCACGTGAACAAAGAATCTGCGTCACAGCAATTTGCGGTGAATTCAAGTGAACCAAATCTGAATTCAGAAACTAACCTCAATACATCTGGGCCAATTCATGGACTTGCAAAACTGGTACTACAAACTTCTCTGGTTTACGTCATTTATTATTGACTTTTAACTGTTACCATAAACTTTTATGGTCTTACTGCCTTGATGGTGAATACTTGGCATTAATGGGATCTCTTGGTCAGATTGCTCTTTTTTTTTTTAAGTCTCAGAAATGCTTTTTTATTTCCTGCTGAGCTGTATATGTTGTGGCAGGAAGAAGATGAAATAAGAAAAGAAAGAAAAAGGCAATTAAATAGGGAATCAGCCAGGAGATCAAGGATGCGTAGGCAGGTATGCATATGTGTTAAATATTGATGGAAGTGGCTTTATTTGTATAGACACATACATCACATATACTCTTGAAAGTCAACTTTTTCAATAAAAAATTATGCCATACTCTGTATTGGGTAATTGATCAAAATGCCAAGCTATTTTTCATTTTCTTTATTGACAATGATTTAGAGCTCTAGCCGCAGCAGTGAAGTTATTTTTCTGAAGAATGAACTTGTAAGTTCAACCTAGTCAACTTCATGCATCTAGAACCGCTGAAACGTTTCTATTTTATTGAGAACATGATGGATTCACAAGTAGTTCACTAGATAGGCAAACAAAAGCTCATTCTGGATGACTACTTTAGAAGTGGTTGCTTTAGCTGTGCTTCTCTCTGTTTCCTTCTGGAAATAGATTATATTTTCATTGAAACACTCTCCATCCTCTTATTGCCGATGTTCCATTAGATAATTTATTATTTCTATTTCTTGACAGCAAGAATGTGATGAGCTACGTAAAATCATGGATGATCTTGTGAAGAAGAATTCCTTGCTGAAGGACAAGCTTGTGAGCCTTTCTGAAGACTGTCTAGAGCTCAATAATGAAAACGACTACATAGAGGTGTGCCATCTAAACCACATCTGTTAGTCATTCGCTCATTAACTAGTGATTCTCAATATGATTGAAGTACATAAGGCCATGCCTCCCTTTCTATCATTCTTTCCGTAAAGAAAAGCTATTCTTTCAAGCACCCTGGGGTTGCTTGTTGCCAGAAAATCAGAGTGTTCTTGTCTTATTTGCGCGAATTGAGCATTCAACGTGCATGAAACACCAATATGCAACCGTAACTTGATTCTATTTGCTCTGTCAGTGGGATTCACTTTGTTTCCGTGTGGAAAAGACGGAAATGAGGATAGATTTCATCCCTTTTTAACTATTTAGAGTTCCGAGTTACATTTACAACTTCCTTCCGTAGCCAAAAATCCCATTACACCAGGTGCTCGAAATTTTCTTTTAAGAGTTCACGATTTGCTATATGGATGTTTAACAGATCTGTAATCTGGACGCCCCCTCGCCAATTTGGTCCGCTTTCTTAACAATGAGGTTCACTTTTTATTTGGAAAATTATTCACAAGGACCAAATTCAGAAACTATTCTTAAGGATCAAAAGACTGAAACATTGAAAATTTACAAGTTTTTGTTATTCTGTTTTGACTTTTGCCAGCTAATCTCTGATATTAGTCATTGGTCTGGCGTATTAACAGGAAGAGATCACCAAGATGTATGGGACAGAATCAATTGCCGATCTTATAGCCATGAGGCCTGGCGGAGTAACTCGTTGAGATATGTTTAGCCACAACCGTTTGCTGATTTCGTAGCCACTAAGTCTACTTAACTCGGTTGATGGTAGAAGCTAACATAACAGTTCACGAAGCAAGTCTAAGAACTTTCTAGAATTCTTCATTTGACATTAGAAGCCAATTTGAACTATATTTAAGTCGTTTTGAGTTATACAGTGTCTCAAAATAACGTTATTGTGAACGAAATCCCACTATCGGAACTTCGAGGAATCAGAGATAATCCTGGGTAAATGGGGTCAACAAGAATGATCAAGGTTAGACCACGACAAGCTCGAGATCTCTTCATTCCGGAATATTTGTTTGGTACGGTACATAAAATGAGATGAAATGTAACGGGTAATAATTTTTAAAATTTAGTAAATGGAAATTATTAAATAATAATCATAAACAATATGAAAATCACCAATATCAATATAGGGATGGCATTATTCGCCATCTTCAATTATATCAATTGACACTTTAATACGCGGAGCATTTCTAAATCCATATCCATATGACTTAATTGATGTGTACTTTATCTGACTAAAAACATTATATGGCTATGGGTTATACATTTGAATTAAAGACCTACCTATAATAAGTCTCAATTCTTTAAAAGTTTCTCCTCTGTATTGCGTAATTTTTTTAAAAAAATTTGATTGGTCGAAATATTCTCGGCAAATGCCAATATCTTGTGTGTAAGGGGCGGGATGAAAAAAGATTTTTTTCTTTTTAAAAAAATACATCTCAATACAGAATTAGACATAAATAAATAAGTTCAAAATCATTCTTATAAGGTGGTAAACCAAGATTCGGATCTCTATTAGGAGAGGTGTCCATATTTAGTACTTGACAGTGTTTCAAATAGGATTACTTTTAATAAGAGGATACCTATATTTTAGAGAGAAAAAAAGAGTCAAAAATCACTCAAAAAAACATTCGTTATTACTCTCTCTCTCTCTCAGCCGGCCCCTCGTAATTAGTCTTGCACGTGGTAACTGATATACATAGCGCGCGCGCGCGCGCGGGGATGTGAGTGAGAGGACCGAACCATTATGTTTGAGAGAACCTTAAATAACCAAAACGGACGTGGTGTGCGGAGAAGATTGAAACGAATATTCTTTAAAAACAATATCTCCTTTAGACCATTGGCATGAAATGAGGTTTAGGATTCAGGCTCTCGTAAAAAAAAAGAAAAGAAAAGAAAAAAAAAAGGTTCAGTTTAACGCGATGCTAGGACTTTGAAGCTACGCCAAAGAATTACCTTTCTTGCCAGCACCCAACAAAAAGAAGAGCCAAATTATATAACCCATTGTGCTCATAAAAAAGATTTGTTTTAACCTACATATGTGATTTAAACGATCCTCTGTAAACTCGTTTGGAAAAATGGAAACTGCAGAACGAATCAGTCAAGAGGCCAGAAGAGAGTGCCTAACCTGCGGAAAAGTAATATCACCATTCAGAACCTTCAGGAAAAGGCCTTAGAGCATCTTGCTTTCCATTGACATAGTATTCAACTATTGCTCTCATTCGGGGAAGCTTGTCTGGGTGATAATTTACATGAATAATCACTGGTTTAATTTTGCTGAGTTTAGCATCATTCCTCACAGTCTTGAACAGAACCTTGCTGTTCATAAAGAGATATATATTCATAGTTCTTCTGGCCGCATGAAGCCCAATATAGCCAGGATATGACGGTTTAAACAGTTCCTCATTGAAAACAGCTTGGTCCCAAGAATTTGGCGCCATGGAAAGTCGAATTGCCACACGATCCAAAAGCTCAATTGAAGGGATTGTTGGTCTGATATAGAAGAAACCAGAATTGTAAACCCATATCCTCATAGTATGAGCATATCTCGCCCAACCCATTGCAGGTTCATCGAACACATGATTAAATCCGTAAGCTGTCATGTTATCATGACCATCGCTCATGGACTCTACATCTGAATCTCGGAACAGATGATCAAAAGGGTTCTGTAAATATACAATGTCAACATCTGACAGAAGAACACTATACCCCAACTGTAGAAATTCTCTTAGGATACGAAATTTAAGCCCGGAAACAGCATGATTGCTTCCAGTTCTTCCAATAGAATCAATATTTTCATCCGGGTCTCTCTTGTACACTGGAACTTGACTTGATTCACAAAACTTGGCAGTTTCTTCATCCAGAGCAACCACAAGATAATTGGGTATACCAACTCTCTTAATGTTGGCAAACCAGACCTCCAGCATTTCCATCACATTGGAGTTTGCAACTGCCACTATAAGTTCTCTATGAACTGCAACTTTCTCCAATATCTTTGCCAATCTTGGGTTCACGGATTCATCAGGAACTACCGGAGGGTTGGTTCTTAATCCCTTGACAGTACCAAAAGGCCCAGCTTTACGCTGTTTACCCAATGTAAGAAACTGCTTATGAGCCTGATCTTTCCCTTGCTCTGCAAGCCGAAGCCTTTCGGTCAATTCCCTTACTTGTTTCTTCAGCTCAGAATTTTTCTCTGATGCCGCAACTAACTCTGATTTCAACATGCTGATCCGGTCTGATGATTCACAAGCAGCTGAATTTGTCTGCCAAATTAACCATTGTAAATTTGAAGCTCGTAATGCTATGGAGCACTCTTTGTGCCATACAAAACATATATAACGCAGAACTCCATTTCACACCAAAACCACATAGAGAACTATAAAACACCAAGACACAGAAAGAAAGTATATATATAAGCGAACCACGATTAACTCTTGAACATGTGTGGGCTGCTTTAAAATATTAGCTCCAGCCATCAACTATATTTAACACGACGTCCAGACTCCAAAGTTATTCTTCAGAAATAACAACCAATCCAGTTTTTTTCTTTTCATTTTCAAGTGATTACTAATATTGAGAGTAAAACTTTGTAGGCCTGACAGAGGAATCCGAAATAGAATTAATGAGGATCAGAATCAGCAAGATTGACAATTCACAATATTGATACAGCAACAATTAGTCAGAACAGAGTAATTTACAGTCAATGCTTAACATCTCCATTTGTCATCCAAGGGACATCAGATGATGGTGACAATGTTAATACAAAGAAAATCATTGAAGAGAAGATATGGAAGAATCAGATAACCATAAAGTTCGAAAAAGAAAGAGAAAAACAGAGGCTGCATTCATTATAAATGCCGAACCTGGGTCTCATATGCTGCGGTACCATGACTGCGATTAGGGGCATTGTTCAAAACGAAGAGCCTATTGGGGAATAAGAAAGCGAAGACACAACCAATAACGACTCCGATCGCTACAGCGATTAAGACTCTTGATTTGCGCAGAGACTGAGTATCGTTCCTCATCAATGGCCCTTCTCTCGGGCCAATCATGACGGCGTCTCTTCCACTTTAAGTCTATTTCAATCTGAGGTTCGGATTCAGGATTGAAGAACGGAAGAATCAAGGATGTGTCGAAGGCATTATAAGCTGATTCCCACAGCGACCGTCGTCTAACAATCGAGCTCTGATCAAAGCTTTGATGGAGACAATAATGGAAGACTTAAGGTTCACTGAATTATGAAGAACTTCCTGAGTGAATGAATGGTGGCAATGCAGAAAATACAAACAACTAAACAAATTTTGAAAGAGGAAGTAGCAGGTAGGCAAATGGTCATTGATCCCGAATGAGGAAACAAAAGGAATTTTTTTTTTGGCCGGCAGGAAAGAAAATCAGGTACTTTACCATATACGGGAAATGGGAATCATAAACATAAATATGATGCTTGTTGTTTTTTCTTTTTTGACCGGCAAACATAAATAAGATGCGTGGGAGGGAGTTACTGGTTTTTTTTATTACCTCCTGTCTTAATTATAAAAGTTAGTTGACTAATTTGAGGAGATTAAGGAAGTAAGTTAAGTTAGTTATTTATCCTAAATATGTGTTATTTTTTCTAAAATATCCTTACTAATCAAGTGTATTGATTAGAACTATCATTGTTAGAAAGACTATTTTAGAAAAAATGTATAAATATGATAGACAAATTGGATTGGGGTCTTATATTTATGATCAAAATAAAAATCAAACAGGGTCTTATATTAAGGATCGGAGGTAGTAATACTTTTAATTATTCCTCCAATCCTAAAGGTCCACGAAAAAAATTCCTCTAATAAGTCCCAAAAAGAAATATAAGTTTGCTTAGATAGTATCCAGAGTATTTAATTTTTTTTCTTTTATATTTTGCCATTATCAAATATCATGAATAATTAATGTAGTATTTAACTTTTAATAAAAGTAATTTGAGAAAATATTACAACCTTTTACGTATTTAAATATTTAATGAACCAACTTTTATTTAAGTACTCATAAACTTATATTATGGCTATATTATGGTTTTGTTTTTTATTTTAAGGTAAACTACATAAAAAATTTCTAAATTTTGAACTAGGTACAAATAATTGTTCTAATATTTTAAAACTTAAGAGAAACAATTAACAAACACACCTAAACTTTTAGCTATGTATAGGTAAGTCTCAACCATAAATTATATGCCCCTTAAATTATATATATATTTATATACAATCTCCTCAAACTGTAAAATTTAAATTACATACATTTAATATTGATTCATCTTCCCATCCTATTCTTTCTATCTCCGTAGTCAGTCTGGCTGCATACTCCTTCTGGATGAGTTCTGTGGCAAGCTGACGGATTCTGCTACTTCTTCTCTTCCGAAAGAACTTATTCTTCTAAGAGCGGATATTTCAAAGAGAGCACCGGATCTTGCATGAATGTGCACATTCGATTTGTTCACATCTTGAATATGACCCTTTGCCATAGACCAATTGCCAGAGATTGGCTAGCATGAGGACAGATAGGCTAAAGAGAGGTTAGCCCTAGCTAGTGTTAGAGAGCTTGCTGGATGAGAGCTGACTAGACTGAGTTCCACTTCCATACTCCAGTTTACAGAGGGCTAATGGCTGGCTTGTTGGTTTAGTATAAAACTATAAAGGCATAAAATCTCTTATTTTCTATATTTATAGATTCATATAGCGTTCCTGACTTATAACATTTGAATTTCTCAAAACATTTTAAATTGTAAACGGGTATGGCTTTAACTTCATTCATTTTGACAAGGATAAAATCAATGGGAAGAGGTGATTCATGTTCAAGAGAGCAGCTTTGCAGGGAAGTGAGTCATTACTTTCTATGCCTATACCGGCAGTAAAAAGTCAATAGTTAGTCGCCTCCTTTAAATTTTAATATATGTGCAGATAAATAATAAGAAAAATTACTAATAAAAGAGTCATTTGTATAAGGAAAAACCATATTGGAGATACTTATACTTTTTTTCAATTTTCAATTTGGTACCTATGTGTTTTTTGTTCTTAACTAAATCTTTAATTTTGCTCTATTAACATCATTAATCCTTATGTAGAGACTAAAAATATCAATAGAACAAAGTTATAAGAGCTAATGCTGCTAAAAAGATAAAATTAAATGTTTAATTAAAGGGGAAAAAACATATAGGTACCAAATTAAAAATTGAGAGAAAGTATAGGTACCTTCAATATGGTTTTCTCTTTGTATAAATATAAAAATTTATGGGATTCTTTATAATCTTTTAGAGTTTGAGAAGTTTTTGTTCCCCCGCTTGAGAGTTTGGGAAAGTTATTTGTACATAACTTCGTGATACTTACGTATAATTTTACTTTCATTTTAATTTTATTCTTTTATTAGGTGTACTGCTAAGATTAGGCTAGAGTTGTTATTGTTCATCTCTATTTTCTGGTTACCTTTTTTGTTTGATTTATTATCTTATGCTGAAAAGAAAAATTAGGAGGAAGGAAAATATGAAGAGAAAAAATAGAGAAAAAAAATTAGAAAGAAAATGTTATCATCCATCTTCTTGTTTGGATAGAGAGAAAAAAATAAAAAGGAAAGAAAATAAGTAAATATCTAAATTACTAAAATATTCTTATCAAAATATATCATATTTAAAATTAAATCAAATCAAATATTGTAATGAAAAATTTTACTAACATTAGCATCATCAAATAATTTAAAATCAAGTTATTTGGTTTATATATATTTTCATATTATTATATTTTAAAACCAAATTATTCAATAAAAATATTGTTTTAAGATAAAAATAAAAGTGAATAACTTTAAAATTTTTTTAAATACAATACAAAATAAAATATGGAGAGGAAGAACTCAAAAAAGCACCAAAGGAGGGGCAATCACAAAAATTTTGTTTTCCTTCCCAAATCTCTCTAAATGAGACATGAGTCTCACTTAATCCCCTCTCAACTTTTTCTTCCTCCCTCGTTTTCTGTCTTATCCAAGTAGGGAAAAACTTATTTCTCCTCCTGTTTTTCTCTCTAGTTGCCTTTCTCCTAATTTTCTCTAAGTTAAGCTTCATGAAAGGTTTAACTATTAAATTCAAAACCAAAATTTCCATTTTATTTTTAAGTAATTAAGTTGTCTATTTATTTTGAAAAACATTGACTTAATAAAATTTAATGTTTATATTTCATCTTAACCATTTAATCTTAAATATTGAACATAAAATATAAGAGTGTTTGATCTAGTATGGCACATAAGAAAGATTGTGTTTTTTGAACAATAAGAAGGCAGAATCGCTCAATTAGACAGGAATAAAGTTATTAGGCCAAAAAATGGACGGGAATAAAGTTAAAAGTTAGAATTCATTTTCAACAGATTAAAGCAAAGATTACTAGATCAGCGGTCAAAAAGTAGTTAAAAACCAAATATTCCTTTCTTGCTTTTGTTGTATAAGTATTTAGTAATTGATCTTATTTGTTATGGCATAGAGCTAATTAATTACAGTAATTCAAGCATCATTAAATTAAAATGGGAGATGATTCTGTAATTTTTTTCCAAAATTGGCAAAGTTTGATGAGGCTAATTGGTAACTCTATGCTTTGATTCTTTATTTCAAATCCCCATTCTTTATTTCCTTCTTTTTTTATTCGAAGTTTTAATCAGGCTCTGTCCAATTTTTTAATTTAAATATTTTGAACGTGAGAAACTTCTGCCCATTTTTTGATTAAGACACTTCTTTTCATTTCAATATTTCGTGCCTGCGTAAAAATTATTATAATTTAATAAGAAGCCATACACTTGTAGCTATTCCGTTGGCCGACAAACTAACCGAACAAAGAGTAAATTTGGTCCATAATATTTAATCTCTAGATCAGTAAGGCATTTTGAACTTTGAATACTTAGAACTAGGCGTGGCGGCGTGGCCTTTTTGGTCAAAACAAAAAACTAGGCACGCCCTTTCTCAGTTAAGTGGCTGGCTCTGTGGAAGGGCATTGACGCAACAAAACAAATAATGATAACACCTAACATCGAACACTTGTTCCGATTACTATGTACATCACTAAATATTTCATCATGTCCGTCTTCTTATATACTGCAGCGGAGCAGAAGCTCGAGAATCACAAAAAGAAAAATCAGAAAAAAGAGACTGAAAACTCAACCCCACAAGCAATCTTACACTTTGATTTTCTCACGTAAGCTGTCTATAGAGAAATGCCTTAATCGTCTTCTGATTCTGAATTCTCAATCTCCCTCTTCAGGCTTCGATTTTCTTGCCTTCCAACTGGCCGAACGGGAGGCCTAATCATTTCACTAGCTGGTACAAAAAACAATGAAATGAGCAATTAAGCGTACGGATTAATTGGCTGATGAACGCTACAATTACAACCAAAGTATTTCAACTAAAAAAAACCGTAGCCCTAATGCGCCAAACTGGGCAATTCGTTTTACAAAAGCTTCAAGATAGAGAACTCCGGATAAGCACTTACGCAATGGAGAGAAGAAAGATGGCAAATTCAGAGGGGCTTGCATGCATACCTGTAACTACAGCTTTTGTTACAAGTGACCTTGCGAGCAGAAATTCAGCTTGGTGTGCACTAATAAATTTACTCTGCAATGTCAACAAGAACTGATCGGTACAGGTCTATATACTGATATGCTATAAGCAGCAAGGAAAAAGGGAGCATATCTTCAAGTAAAGCCTATTAGACTAGAGATGCCAATTTGGCGAGCCAAAACCACTTAATTAGCTCAGTATTAAGTATTGCGAGGTGTGGTGAACACAAGACTAGGATAAACAATCATCAAAAGCAGTATAGCACCCTAATTTTCAATGGCAATTGGAGAAGAAGACTAAGATAAAGCACTGTATTTCCACCAATAATGAAATGAAATGAACTCTCACCATTTCACCATATAAAAATTCCATAACCTGATCCATTCTAGCTTGATGCTTCAGCAAAAATGGACGCATGTGACTCTCATACAGTTGTCTCGCTCCCTGTTGAACAGCAATAGTAAGATTTGCTTATTCAATTATTATTAATCTCTAATGTCACATCAATTAAACATTGTGGCAAACAATCATCAAAAGCAGTGTAGTAAAGATTATCTAGAGAGCTTACATTGAGAGTGGGAAGCTGAAGCCAAACAAGAAATGCAAATTTCATATGGTAATAAAGTGGGATCCTGATGAAACACAGCACAGCAGCCTAATCAGATCGAAATATCTCTTGTATAATGTCAAATGAAACAAATCAAGCAAATAGCGCAAATTACGCTTTCCTGCCCTTAGTTTTATTGAAGTTACAGGAAGATCCCTATTTTCATAACATATACGTAAGTCTAATTTTGTTGATTTTTCACTAAAATATCCTCCATTAGCCTAAATACATATTGAAGCATTTGCAAGAAATTATTTCAAAATATGAAAAAGTATGCTGTCATCATTGTTCCTCCCCAAATTATTTCAAAGTATGCGTAGGTAAGAATGAAAAAGGAATTTTATTCTATTTTCATTGAATTTAATAAAGCCTTAAAACTGATACTTCCTGCATGAAAAGATGGTTTGAAGTATTTCCTTTCTTCTCTTTTACCCAACTAATTAGTTTATAATTAATTGTTGCAAATAAAAAATTTCCACCTCTGCAAGACTCTTCAATGTACATGTTCAAACTTGATTTGCCAGTGAACCAGATCAACTCTCCCAAGATATCAAATACATTTGAAAAGGATATTTTGGTAACAAAAAAGAATACTTAGGTTAATGGAGGTATTATAATAAAATAATCAAAATTGGACCGAAGTATAGTAAAAAAATTTAATTTCACAGGATGAAATATGCACTTAGTGCAGGCAGAACTTGACTATTACCAGGAAAGTACTTTTTCTGCAAATATTTCTGCTATGCTAAAAGATCCATAAGCTGCAAATCACAATAGAGATAAGTCCATATTAAAAAAAGGCAGTATAAAGCTATCACAATCATCAAAAGTCAACACGAAAAGCATGTAGGAAAATTCAACTTCAGGAAGCTAAAGGTCTGCTTCTGCATGACGATAATAAATTTGCACAACAAAACCATTTTCTATTTACCCTGTAGTCCTTTACATATGATTGCTCAAATGTACCAGGAAATCAAAATCAAACAACAAGGAAGTAAAAGATTTGAATAGTGTGTAAATATTCTATGATAACTTCAAAATAGTTCCGCAAGTGATTCAGCAGAAGTTGAGAGACGTTAAAGGAAAAGTGAATAAACTTGTTTCAAGACGTTTATTCTATATCACAAAGGTATTAACTACATCACTGAAATTGGCAACCAAGGACTTGGGAGAACAATGAAACTAGTCAGGAACACAATTAGTGATCAGATGCCATCTTTCTTGTAAGAGGCGTGAGAAATGCAGGAGATCGTGAAATGTAGGGAGAAACAAGTACATCCAATTGATGCACCAAATAAATGGACAAATCAACAAGGACCTTAATAATGAAAATGATGCTGAACGAAAATTATAACCTGCCCAGTAAGTCAGCCACCTTTGTTGCTCATTTTGATCTTTGTTCTCAATAGCTTTAAATGTAGAGTAAACAGGAAGCGCAAGCCCCACAGAACAGCTATAAAACCATGTAAAAACAAAATTAGTGAATATAGTTATGGATCTAATTTCTGAAAAAGGAGAATAAAATCCTTATCAGCCATCACATTTTGATTAAAAACCTGGACAACCTAAACGATACTTTCTTTGCAAAATTCAATACTAAACACCACAAAGACAAAAAATTTCAAAAGGAGAGGAAACATGACACATTTTGAGGTAAAAATCTCCAAATATATGCATACCATGCAGTGCGAAGAACAATTTTAGAACCAAGAGGGGAGAGGAGCAGTTGCAACCCAACCTATGTAAGAAAAAAACCAACGTTAGATGTCAGAGTAAGAACATTTTAGCACATATAACCCTACGTAAGAAAGCAGTTGCACTCGCAACACAATTTGGTCAAATCAGTTATGACTATGACCGACCTTTACATCATGCCATGCCTTCCAGAAAACAAATCAATATATTACATGAGACGGTCAAGTTTTCATATGGTGCTCCAAGAGTTTATAATTTGAGGTTTGAATGGGCATTAAATGTTATTGCGAACCTTTGAATCATTTTATCTTTCTCCTTATCCTCTAGTAATCAAAATGCATAGGATGCTCTCTTAGCTGTTTCAAACATGCTGATCATACTTCCCGCTACGACCTAAGGAACTTGCAGCAGCACTTCTTTTCCTTCTTTAATGAAGTGGCAAATACAATCAACCAATGATGTCTATTACTGTGCCCTCTGAAAGTTTTCAGGGGAAAGATCTATGAAAGATAATACACCCTTCCACCGCAAAACTAGTTTGAGAACAACAGGAAGATTAATTCTCAGACAGTCCCGATTACAATCTAATGAATTATCACCACCAACCACGAAGAGGAGTTCACTCTATCATCAAGAAAGAATAGATATATCTGGAATTGTAGAAAAAATTCCTCCGATATCAAATAATGGCTTTTCAAAACCGAAAGATATATAAAAAAGATAAGTGTAATCGCTTACCTCGCCTGGCACCGGAAAAGCCATGGGAGAGAATTGCGCGCAGAGATTGAATCACGGGGGGGTCGCTTCTGCCGTTTCTCTGTGCCGTGATTCGCAAGATGATTTTTAATTTTCTGGAAAGAGGCAAAATAGTGTAAATAGATATTTTCAAGGGAAAATCCCAGAAAAGCCCTTAGAATATACAAAATTTCAGATTGGATCCTTAAATTTCGAAAATGACAGAATTGGTCATTGACCCAATCTGTCATTTGTAAAATTAAGACGAATTGACAATTTTGCCCCTAGCTAAACAAAGTGAGTAATTATTCTCAAAACAAATCTAAGTGACGCTTATACTGTTCTAGTGATTACAAGATTAGTTGTAGTTAATAATAAGGTACCTGACAATAATAAGATACCTGACTATACAAAATAAGTAGTTATTCTCTACACAAATCTAGGTAATACTTACATTGTTCAAGTGATTACAACATTAGTTGTAGTTAATAGCAAGACACCTGACTATGAAAAAGTGAGTAGTTATTCGCTACATGAATCTAGGCAACACCTAAACCCTTATGGTGATTCCTTAAATCATTATAGTGAATAAATGCAAATGAGGGCAAAATTGTCAATTCGCCTTAATTTCACAAATGACAGATTGGGTCAATGACTCATTCTGTCATTTTGGAAATTTAAGGACCCAATCTGAAATTTCTCATATTCCAAGGTCTTTTTTTGGGATTTTCCCTATTTTCAATTTCTTTTTCTGTTTTTTTCCCCCAAACCTAACGATGACCAAACCATTCTCCCATGAAAAAAATTGCTCGGACAAACCTCACAGGCCCAACGGCCTTCATACAGGAAAAGAGGTCCTATGGACCAAAAAGGCCTAATTGTATTTTGGATTGGTCTAAACTCTCGGCCCATTGAGAGCCCAATAAAAGTACTTATTGTCCGGCCTAACAGCCCGGTCAACTTGCTTAAGGAACTAGTTGGATTAGCAATAATAAACACTTATAAGCACGTTTTAGGTACATTAAAATAAAACTCTTTTATATACTTATCTCGTATTCTGTAAATCACTAATAAAAAGTTATTTATAAACTATTCCAAACAGACTATAAAATTGAAAATTTTTACATCCAATGATAAAATTACTAATGCCTTCATTGTGAATATAATATATTTTTACATAACGCACCTACGAAGAAAAATAATTAGTTCATGCTACTCTGGACCTTATTATAAATTACTTGTAAGGTATTTTATGATCATTTTCTAATTTTATTCGTATTTAATTTTTGTTGAATGGGAAGAAAGATGAGAGAGGTGCACAAATGACTTGTAACTATAAAAAGAGAAAGAACTTTAATAAGAATAAATTAAAAAAAATCAATTTAATATATTCCTTAGACCTTAATATATGAGAATGTTACAAGTAATTTATAATAAGGACTTAAATGATACATTAAGAATTGAATATGGTAATTAATTTTAATATACTTTTATAGAGGCATTATAGACCCAAAAAAATACAGTAATTATTCTTAAAAATTTATAAAGTGTCTTATAGTAATATTAAAACATGAAAATTCTAAAACAGACCTTACATTATATTATTTGAAGCGGATGCAGTAGTGCTAGAATAGAGTTTCAATTGAAAAAGTTGCATCACTCGAGGCCTGCATGAAGCCTGATGAGTGAATAAAAAATAGAGTACTAAATATTATTGAGGTGAGAATTTAATATAAATATAAATATATGAAGAAAGATTAATTAGTTGGGGGAGAAGGGAAACCAGTATAGTATTCTATTTCTAGGATGGCACAAACAAAGTGAGACCAGCCTGGAATTGAGAGAAGCGAAACAACTCACTCTCCCAAAAACACAGTTGACTCTTTAATTTTGTATTTTTCCTATTTTTAATATAATACCTGTTTAAATAATTTAATTAGATTATGAAAGTTAGGAAAACTAATTAATTATAAGAAATATGACATATTTTTTTCTAAAATACCATAATATTTTTTTTTAATATTCTTCCTCCCTCTCATACTTGATCATAGTTGAGAGAGTATCGATAAGGATAACTTAGAAAAAACTGATAAATGTGATAAATAGATCTTATATTTAGGATCAATATTATCTCAGTAATTATATCATACTCCTCCGGTCCTTAATATATGACCCAATTGTTGAGTTAGTTTTGGTCCTAAATATAAGACTCATTTTTTATATTTATCAATTTTCTCTAAATTACTCCCATGGATACTCTCTCAGCCATAATCAAGTAGAAGAGGAAGATGGAGTATTAAGAAAGATGATTTTGGTATTTTAGGAAAAACGTGTCACATTTCTTACAATTAACTAACTTACCTAACTTCCTTAATCTAATCAAATTAGTTAAATAGATCTTATATTAAGAATCGGATCAGTATATTAAGGACCAGAGGAGTATTAATATTTAGATTAGATGCTAATTAATTAGTCATTAGCTCCGCACGACTAGGACTTCCCACGCAGTTAAAACCTTAAAAATCAAACTCCTCCATGTGGTTTGGTTCCCGGCGGCCGAGTTCATGGGGTTTAAAAATTACTCATAGGAGACTCTATTTCAAGTAATGTTATTAATTAATAATCCACACAACTTTGTTCTTGCTAAGCAATTATGTTGCATGGCTGTCCCACGTGTTAATATTTAAGATAGTTAAGCCTTTCGATCTTTTGAATTAGCCTCACATCCTGTTCACAATTATGTGTTGTCCTGATAATATTCATTGATATATATATATATATATATATAGCTATAGAATTAAATAATATGTGGATTCTAAATAGATGTTAATTTTCTTAATATATACGTGCTCATATATTTTTCTGTTTTCTCTCATCATTCTAAACCGAAGGATGAATAATACTTTTTTATGGTTTTCTTTTTTCTTCATTTTTCTGAGTAAGATATTGTGCATGCGGAGAGAATTATAATCAGACACTCCTTTTTGTAGGTCAAGAAGTGGGAGGAAAGTTATGAAAGAAGGGGAGTAATTGGAGGAGGATGGGGTCATAACGCAATTATTAAAGATGATATGATGATAATGATGCCTGCTTTTTTGTTTTTTGGACTGAGATGCCTGCTTTGATTTGTTTCTATTAGGCTATCAAAGCAAAAAAGTAAAAACCACGTGAGATTGACTAGTAATAAATTGCATGCCCCCTCCTTTTCATGTGCTAGTCCCACAACTATTTTCAAATTAACATGCAAGCCCCCATACCCAATATCAAAATTTTCAGGATTGATCTTATTGAGATATAAAATACGCTCAACAATTAATTAATCACTTAATTAAACAATAAAGTTATTGGTAGGGCTGGTATGATGTCCTAAATACACATTCCATTTTAATTTTCTATAAATGGTACTCTTTCGGTCTTTAATATATGACCCATTTAACTAATTTGATTAGATCAAGAAAATTAGGTAAGTTAGTTAATTATAAGAAATGTGACACGTTTTTCCTAAAATACCATAATCATCTTTCTTAATGTCCCCTCTCCCTCTTCTACTTGATTATGGTTGAAGGAGTATCCATAGGGGTAATTTAGAGAAAATTGATAAATATGAGAAATGGGTCTTATATTTAGACCAAAACTAACTTAACAATTGGGTCCTATATTAAGGACCGGAGGAGTAAATATTTGAGATACATGCAGTCATATAATGTATCAACATTTTTTCAACAATATTTGGATTGGAGGTGTGCTAGTAAGAAATACTTCAAATACTATAAGTCCTGTTTGATATGAAGCATTAAAAATAAGAAACGAGTATTAGGATTGGGATTAACAAAATCTATTAAAAGAATGTTTAACACAAGAGATTGTTTATCACATGAGATTGGACAAACCAATGTATGTGGGATTAAAAAATATCATGGGAAAAAAATATTACTCTCCAAATTTACTTCTATGGGTTTGTTTAATTCCATATAACAAGTAACTACTCATGTTAAATACTTTTGTTAGTATTTTTTTTTTAATTGTAATTCTAATTTCTATCTTTTATTTTTAATACCTCATACCAACTACGACCATAGAGTTATCTGAGAAAGAGTAGGGGAAAAAATAAAGACAGCATTTAATGAAATTATTAAATGTAAACTTTGCTATGTTTAGATGGAGGGAGAAGTTGAAGGAAAATAGGGAGAATATTTGCTCCCCACCAAGTAAAGTCATTATCCACCTCACACCCCACAGAAAAAAGTGTCCTGTATTTTGAGACCTCCCCATATTGACCAATGAGTTGAAGACCTCATATTGTCTTGTGGGGATAATATATATCTTCCTCAAATAAACAGACAAAAAAAAAAGGTACTTTCATTTATGTCCCCACACAAAGACATTATTAGTAATAGTGTGTGTGTACATGATTTCCTCAAAACATCGTTAGCATAAGCAACTTGATTAATATGATCTGAATCTGGCTCCTGTTAATGCACAACTACGTACTAGTGGATCTCTACTACTTTTTCCCCCAACCTAATTATTTCCTATCGTTTCTCTTTTTAATGTTTTCGAAAATAGTACATATGAATTTGAGGAATAATTGACATTTGACACTTTACAATAATTCGTCATTACACAATGTAATTTTTGTTCAACCAATCAAGTATTTGAATTAAAATTATATATTATCATCTTAATTTCCATACACAATAGAAAATTAAGAAAATGGGCCATAATCAATAACCAAATAAATTAGTTTTTTTAATATTAAAGGACAATTGGAAAAAAAATATCCCCGTCAAAAATTTTACTCCGAATGCTGGTACTACAAATTTTGCATAATACTAGTATCTTCTGTGTATAAAAAAATTATTAGGTCTTTCTTACCAATAAAATTTTTAGTAGATGATTTTTTTCCCATTTTCTCTTGATTTTAATTATATATATATATATATTCACAAAGCGACAGAACATTTCGTATCATAATGTCAAATTATGATGATCAACATCATGTGTGTGTAATTAATAAGACAAATTATGTTCCAATGTGAATGAATAAATTAAAAACTATGGCGTATGCGGACCACACTGGCTTTCTTGGTCACTTTTGGTT